CACTGTAGAAAACTATTAAGTTTATTTTTTTTCAAATAAACTTAAAAGTTTGGGGTGGTGCCTCAAAAGTCAAACATAGAATTACTGTATGAACTAACAATCCCACTTTTTGGTATATACACAAAACAATTGGTAGCAATGATTTGAGCACATATCTGTGCACCTGTGATCTCAGCAGCTTTATTCACAATGGCCAAATGTGGAAATAGCTCAAACATCCATTGACAGATGAATGAATAAACAGAATATGGTAAACACCTACAATGAAATGTGATTTAGCCTTAAATTATCCTGACATATGCTATAATGAGGTTGAACCTTGAAGACATCACGCTAAGTGAAATAAGCCAGATATAATAGGACAAATACTGTGGGATTCCACTTACATGAGTTTCCTAGGCTAATCAAAATTTATAGAAGACAAAACTAGAATAGAGGTCACCAGGGACTGGGAGGGAAGAGGACATGGGAAGTTAGTGTTTAATGAGAACCATCTCAATTTGGGTAGAGAAAAAAATTCTGGAGGTGAATGGTGGGAATAACTGCAAAATGATAAGAATGTGCTGGACTCATTACTCCCCATCATCCTATACACAGGACACCTATAAAAATAAAGTGAACAACAATATACCACTTATGGTAACTTTGCACCTGTGTCAATTTCATTAATGTTTGCAGAATTGAAAACACAGGCTTTAATGGGTTGATACCCCTGAATCTGACACTTAAAGATGGTTAAGATGGTAAAATTTTTGTTGTTTATGTTTTGCCATAACAACAACAAAGCAGGAAGATGGTGTCAGGGAGGCCCCTCAACCTGTTCTAATGAGCCTCCTTCTACTTCACAGAGTTTTAGCCCAAAAGGAACTTTCTTGGGAAAGGGTCACAAAAGGAGAGACCAAAGATGACTCCTGAGAAGACAGAAGCCTGGTTTCTGGCAACTGAAGGACTGTCATGTAGACAGACACTGTGTGATGTCAACCGAGGCCTGGAGCCAGACAAGAGGAAGCCTCGGGAACACCCTAAGGCTTTAATTGCAAGAAGGTCTTTCCAAGTGCTTAGCAGTAAAATGGGTTGCTCAGAGAGGCTGAAAACTGTCCACCCCTCAAAAAAGGTTGGATGCAAACCAAGGTCAAAGAAGCCACAGGGGGGATACTGTGGAAGGTATCCTGGGGCAGTAGGAGATTGGCCCAAATGACTTCCATGATTCCTTACAACTCTCGGGCTCTGATACAGATAGGAAATTACCCTGGGTCTTGTCCTGCCCAAGAGGCAGGCAAAAATAGGAGACCCACAGTCTACTCCCACCTCCATTAGTGATTGACCATTTGACCTTGGATGGGTCACTCCTGCCTGCATCTCGGTTTACTCATCTCTGTCATTAACACCTGCCAGTCACTTCCTCACCCCATAATGATCCCTCAAAGTATCATTAAAATAAAGCAGAGAAGAGACTTATGAAAAGGAAAGTTCAGATATGATTGCTACTCCCCAACCCTCCTCCCAGGCTCTGCCTTCCCAACCTCTCAAATCAGGATGGGTGGCATTTTCTGGGGTTCAGTCTGGACACCACTAGTGGACTGTGGGATGCTGGCATAGGGCATGAGCATTATCTAATGATGCATATTTATGTTATTAGTTAATATACTAGTATGTACCTGGTATTTATAGCAAATGAGAACAGCTTTTCTTCAGGATATTGATACAATTTTCTTTTTTCAAATAAGCTTAAAAGTTAAGGTAAGTTATAAAAAGTGAGTTAAAGAAGGATAAAAAGTAAGGAATAATGCAAGTAAATAATATGATATTCAGTAATACTTGAATAAGGAAAAACTCTTGGAGATGGAATGTGAGTGACTAGGTCTTGGGAACCCCCAATGCACTGAGGGGTACAACAACCTGCCTCCTCAAGCCCAGCCATGGATCCCCAAAGCCTGGAGATCAACCGAGAGAACCCAAAGGCAAAGCTGTTTTGGTCGTTCTGCTGTCAGTTTTCTTTAATATGCCAGATACAGGAATTTTACCAACCAATTGAGCACAACTAAAAAACTGAACTTGGCTCGAGGTCTTCCGTCTACAAAACTGTGAGGCTGGTCAACTTCTACCTCCTTCCTTTGGAAATTCCTGTCTGAGTTTTTCCTGAGGTTCACCTTCAACCCAATGGGCTCCATTAAGAAGGAGGTCAGCCCTAATAAGGCCATTTCTCTAAAGTGTAGGGGATATATTGGGTATTTCCCCCCAAGAAGTGCATTTAATGAAAAGCCAGACAGGAAACAGCCATCTCTAAGTGAGTGTTGAATTCCAGGGCAGCAGTCCTAGTGCCCCAAAGCTCCCCTTCTGCTCTCACATGCAGGGCAAGCTCCCCCCTGCATGCCTCAAAACATGAGATGTGAGATCCATTAGAGAAATCTCCTAGAAACCTGATCAAGTCCTATCCCGTCCACCCCAATAGCTACCTGCTGATGAGTTCAGAGGGTCAGTCAGCAATCCTAGAACACCTGCATTCTCTGAAAAGCAGGAATGAAACACGTTTCCAGCTGATAACCAGACAGGACTTCAGCCATTGTCCTTGGGGTGAGGGAGGGGTCAAAGCCACCTACCAATCTTCCCTCCCTTAGACAATGTTTGGAGTTGGTGATACAGGCCTGGGAAAGTTCCCTTTCCTCTCTCCTCCTTCTGCTATTGCCCACATCCCATGTTTTGAAATATTCCACCTATCAAATTGCATGGATGAAGAACTAACTATCTTTCCTATTTTTATATCAAAGATCTCCAGTGGTGGCCAAATACCAAGTTAGTACAATTCCAGGTGAAAAACAAGAAACATTTGTTTACCAATATAGTCATATTAATATTTAAAGAATATTAATTAAGGAATATTAATTCAAGAGCCCTTTTTCGTTCTTTTTTTCTGGAATCTAGCCTAATGTTCCACTGCTTACCAGGGTCCAAGAAATGACTCAGAGACCGGGTCAGCAGGGGTCCTGCTTCAAAAAGCAAGAAAACAACAATCTGGGCGACTCTTATGGAAAACCCAGGAACCAGTGAGCTCATTTCCCAATGAGGACTCTTTAGAAGCTTTTCTCTGACATTGGTGCCCCAGACTTTTGTGTGAACAAAGCAGAAGGTAAGATGACAAACTAGAAGTGGGAAAAGTCAAGAGAGGGGAGACTAAGAGAACAGAAAAGGAAGTTGGCCAACAGGGCAATTGGAAGAACTGATCATGGTAAAGAGACTTCATCAAAAATTAAAGATGCTTAAGATCTATGGGAGAACCTAGGAAATTCCACACCAACAGAAAAGACAAGCAAAGGACACACAATTCACACACACACACACACATACACACACACACACCTTGCCTTAGAGTAGCCATATTACTACCAACATTATGTTGGAAACCTCAAATATATACAATAAAATCTATCAAAAAAGAAAATGCAACAATTTGCCAATAAGCATATGAAAATATTCAACCTCACCAGTAACCAAAGAGAGAACTTTGAAAACCCCCTTTTCCTCTCCAACTGGAACATTACACAGTACTATTAAATGTCGGCCAGGCTGATGGGTATGGGTTGCTTGCACAGTTGGTAGGACTTTGGAAATTATCTTAAGGAAAAAATCATGAATCAGTGCAAAGATTCAGGTGTATTGTTTATAATAGAATTGTCTAACAGGGGGCAATGCAAAATACATTTCCAATGATAAGAAATTCAGTGAAAACTCCAGAATACTGCACAGTCATTGTAAGTAGGAATGTTGAGTGATATCTAATGGCATAGAAATAAACATACTGTAAAACAGAGGCTGTCATAGCTGCCCATTATTTCAAACTGCATATGCATAGAAAAGATTAGAAATGAATGCACAAAATGTCACTAGTGTTATTTTTCCAGGTGATAGAATTATGGATATTCTTTTCTAAACATTTGCATATGTCTATTTTCTGCAATGATAAAATTTGGCTTTGTAAAGAGAAAATATCAATATTTTAAAACAATCAATAAAGTTGCAAATTATTATGATGAAGTTCAAGTGTTCAAGGTTGGGAGGTGACATATAAGAGGTAGACAGAAATTGAGAGCTGGAGCCCACTGGACAGGGTGTATGTTGATTTTACCTGGCTGGCTGGCCAGGTAGAAATGTACCACACAGGTACATGTTGGAAGGCAGAATCCAACCAGCCTGGTCACCGTCGTCTATGTTCTGCTGAGTGGCTATGGAGAAGTGGCTTCTCTTCCCTAGCCTCCAAACCCTTCTCCCCTCTGATGACCCATGAATGTATGACAGCAGGGTATTATAATACAGTACCTTCACGTAATCCTCTCCTTTTTGGAAAAGCAAATATGTTCAGTGATGGGGTCAGATCAGGTCAGGACTTTAGAGGACAAAAGAGTGGAAAATAAGAACATGAGATACAGTGTGTGAGAGTGTGTGAGTGTGTGTGTGTATGTGTGTTTCTATGCTTTGTTCTCTTTATTCCTATAGAACAAGATGACTGAATGTGACTGAATTTTAAGCCAGAGATGTCACTGGAAATAAGTTAGTTTATTCCTCATTAAAATCAGGAGGAGCCAGAGGTTAGCATGATGGGATTTGGAAGTTCCAAATTCTGATTCCCATCCACAAGGCCCTGGCTATAATTTGTGTTTCTTCCACATCATGAAAAATGGAAGAGAAGAGGAAGATAGGGAAAGCTGCTTTGATCTCAGAGGGCCTCTTGACAGACACTGGGTATTGAGAACACCCGGTTGCCCTCAGGATCAAACCCGTTCTCCATCTTGCCTCCAGTTCCTCTTCCCTTCCTACTTCCTTGATGCCCTGAGCCGGTTAGCTTACTTGTGGGAAAGCCACAGAAAGAGACACAGCTTCACTGGGCCCTAGCCAACAGGAAGACCCTGGAAGGGTGGCAAGGGGAGGTGGAACTGCCCAGACCAAGACAGGGGGAGCCCAGTCCAGGCAGGGAGGGATGGTGGCAGGCCAGCCTGGCCACTAACCTCTGGGCATGTCCATGGGGTCGAAGCTGGCCAGAAGGTCACGGCACCACTGACGGTCACCTTCCACCTTGCTCAGCCAATTGTTGCAGTTGAAGTAGTAACGGAGATGAGGTCTCTTCATGTCGGTCACAATCACACGGTCCAGGTACCAGCTGGCGTTCAAGCCTGTGTTGTCATGCTCGATCCTGGGATGGAAGCCAACACTCTCACTGGCAGAACCAAGATGACCCCCCTCCATAGTGGAATACCCAACGTGTCCTCCAAAGAAAGGTTTCACCATTTTGTTTTATTTTGATTTTGTTTTTTGTTACTTTACAACATTTTCCTGCTCTGTGTAAGGAGGGACTTTGCAAGGTCATTGTCCCTGGGGCTCAGGGAGTCTCGCTTTGTGGCTCTCAGATACCTGCAACTAGCAGCCACTATCCTTAGCCCCACAAATCAGGGGAATCCCCCATAGCCACTGAACCAATGTTGCCCCATAGAAATATAATATGAGCCACAGCTGTGATTTTAGATTTTTCTAGTAGCCACATTAAAAAAAAATACAAAGAAACATGCAGAATGAATTTTAAGAATATGTGCATTTAATTCCACTTACTTTGACATATAACCATGTCAAAATTTATTAACAGTATATTTTACATTCTTTGTCTTGTGCTAAATCTTCAAAAATCTTTTGTATGTTTTTTACATTTAAAACATCCTAATTTGGGTTTAGCCACATTTCATGTGTACAATAACTACGTGTGTCTAGAAGCTGCTGTTTGGGGGCAGCATAGATTCAGACTCTTCAAAATCTGTGCCCTCAAGATCTTCTCTCACTTCCTATAGCCACCTTTGTCTAGAGCCTTCCCTAAAACATGGCCCCTGGACAAGCTCACTTGACCTGAGACATCTCATTCCTGCCCATCACAGTGAGGATTTATAAGGACAGATGTTAGCTGGGGAACCTCAACCCAGTTGAGCACATGACCCAACACACAGGCGACAGGCGCAACGTGTCAGGGATACGTGTATGTGCCTGGCATAGAGCCTGGCACCTGCTAGAACCTTAGCTGGTGGCTTCTTACCCCACACATCAAGGTCCCTTCCCAACCCTCCCCTCTGAGAGTCTTTTTCCTGCTTATAACCCCTCCCTCCACCCAATCAGTGCCCAGGGCTCCTGTGCTCCTTAATTTTCCAGAGACAGTTCATGCTCCTAACTTTTCTAGCAGGAGGAAGAAAACTCAGGACTAAATTGAGACCATATTTGACCCCTGTCCAGGCTCTAGTCTGGGTGCCGTCAGACCACAGATGACCTTAACGTTCTGACAAAAGAGCACAAACGTGAAGGGAGTTGATGAGCAGGGACTAGGAGGGGAAAGGGTGAGAGAAACTCCCGCTCTGTAACAAGGTGGAGGATGAGCTCTCCTCGTTCAGGATGCTCCCCCGAGAGGACACCTCGGGGAGCTCTCTGTCCAAAGGCATCTTGCAAAATGAGACCCTCTGAAAGCTTACTGCTTGTCAGTTATTATCCTAATGCTAACTCGTGGAGTCCTAGGGTCATTGCAGGTGAGGCACCACTATTATAAAGGAAGAGCCTGAGGTTTGAAAAGGTGAATTGCCCAAACTCCTATAGCTAATAAATAGCAGAGCAGACGCTTAAACCTAGGCCACCTGGACTCAGTCTTGCTCCTAACCACTGTGCCACGGTGTTTCTCAGGTCCCAAGTTTGTGAAAATTTGTCTCAAATAATCTTAACCCAAGAAATGAGTCTCTAACAGGGATTTAGGTCACTGTGAGTCAGGATGGGAGGGAAGTAATTTGTGCCTTTGGTAATCCCTCAAACAGTACCTGGAGAGTACTCATACCCAGAAAGAATCAATAGTGAAGTCAATTCCTAATCGCTCGCCTTCATCTCCACTGCCTCCCGGTCAGGGCCAGCTCCTCACCTGATTTTATAGACGAGGCCCACGTTGTTGGTTCTCACCCGGAACACATCGACATTGGCTTTCTCAAAGGCAGACTCGCTCCTGCAATGAACGTGTGCTCAGTTAGTGCAGATCAAGCCATGGCTCGCAGGCTCAGGAGGAGAGCTGAGGGCTGGCATCCTCTTCTTCCTCCATCGGCCCACTCCCAGGGAGAGCTACGTTCAGCCAGATCCCATCCTGAGCATCTGACATGATGGGAGAGGGTCGGGGCAAGGACAGTTAGTACCTTGCTCTCACACCCAGGGTCTTTGCCGAGAGTCACTAAAGCAACCACAGTGGGCCATATTAGCCCCACATTACAGACTAGTAAACTGCTAGTTGGTGGCAGAGCCAGGACCAGTATGTGACTCCACGAAGTCATGAAGCCATGCCTACTGGTTGCTCTGGGCTGGGAGGCTGGAGGAGGAAGGAGCAATGGATGCCATGGTGCCCGTGGGTGCAAAGGCCACTCTGCCTCTCCCCTTGCTGGCCTCGTCCTCTGTGGGAAGAGTTGCAATGGCAGCCCCAAGTGGATGCAGACTTGGGAGGTAACTGTGGTCCTGCCATTGCAACAGGAAAGAGAACACTCCACCCCAAACCAGCAACCAGGGAAGTGGGGTGGTGAGGGAAATGCAGATCTGGCAGCTTCTAAAAGGTGCAAACAGAAAAGAGTACACCTGAGCCATTCGGCAACGCAGTGCCCCAGCAAGTCCAGGCTCTGAAGCGTCCTAAATCCAGCCAGCTTACACACACAGGGCTGCAGCCGACTAGCATCAGAATCCACGGGTCCTGTCAACGACTGCTCTGTGCCCTATGCAGACCAGGATAGCCCCCGTTCCAGCAACTCTGCCTGCCCCACAGGTGAGTCCTTGGGGCCTGAGAAATATAGACCTCCCCCTGTGCTCCTGGCCAGGGCTTTTGGAGTAAGCACACGGCCCCAGGGGAAAATAAAACAGCAGAAGACTTATGCCAACGTTACGGTGTGGATCTTCAGTGTCTCCCCAAAGCCCATGAGTTAAAAAACTTGGATCACAGCCCATGGTTCTCCTGGGAAGTGGTAGAAATTTTAAAGGGTGGGGCCTAGGACGGAGGGTACCACCCAGTTGGATAGCAGTCGCCTAGCATGGGCAAGATCCTGGGTTTAATCCTCAGCACTAAAAAAAAGAAAAAAGAAAAAACAGAGGTCACTGGGATCATGCCCATGAAGGATACTAGAACCCAGCGCCTTTCTGTCTTTTCTTCCTGTCTTTCTTCCCAGCTGCCGTAAAGTGAGCAGCTTCCTCAACCACTTACTCCTGCCATGGTGTGCTGCCCAAACCGATGGGACAACCAAGCCTGGAATGAGAACTCCAAATCTGTAAGCCAAAATAAAGTTTCTTCTTTTTAAGTTGATTTACCTCAGGTATTTGTTACAGCAATGAAAAACTAATAGTCACTTCATTGGTTATCAATGTGCTTCAAACTAAAGGGGGTGGGGGGCTTTGCCCCAATGCCACAAGGCTCAGGCTCAGAACAAGGCTTCGTGGGTTCTACAGAACCCAGAAGCTGGGATTCTGCAAACAGACCCACTTTGGCAAATAATTGCCCTGGGAGAGGTTTCCTTAAGAAGGGCATCAGGAGATGAGGGCCGACATCTCCTAAAGCAGAGCACAGTTCATGAAAACACAAACTCAGGCAGCCTTGTCGGGTGCAGTCTGGGTGCAGAGAAGGGAGGAGGAGAGTGGCAGAGCCTTCCGGGTTTGTTGGGTTGCAAAGGACCCTCTCAGGTGGGTCTCACCCCTGAGGAAGAGGGGAACTAAAGCTATGCTCAGCAAACAGTCCATACTCCACCGTCGCATAAGAAAGACGATGAATGTCATCTTTACAGCTTCAGCAAGAGCAAGGAAAATAAGAAGTCTCCTCCATGAAGAATGGTCAACCTCTTCCTGGGAAAGGAAGCTTACCAGTCTGGGGCTTGGAAAGAAAATTAATCAAACCAGCACTCATGGTAATCTAGCTGGTGCAGGGATTTCTCACCAGTAATACACCCAGGTTTGGGTTCAAAGTCACAGCGGCTATTAACTTGGAAAGCACACAGTCATCAATTGTATACGCTAGGATTTTGTGAATGAGAAATAAATAAACAAATGTTATTTTCTCTTTCAACACATAAGACAACTGATTTTTAGAATAAATAGACAAGAGTTTCTACATCAGATTAAATCCCCCAAGGAATAATCACTCTAGGAAGCTATATGAAAGAATATTTTGCCATCTTTAAAAATTCTATTATAAAAGAATATTAATAAGACAGAAACACGTGTATGATACAGGCTTTAAAAGAGAAAACAGGTTAAAATTGAACGTATGAACACAATAATCAATAAAAACAGGAAACCCTGGGCTGGGGATGTGGCTCAAGCGGTAGCGCGCTCGCCTAGCATGCGTGCGGCCCGGGTTCGATCCTCAGCAGCACCACATACCAACAAAGATGTTGTGTCCGCCGAGAACTAAGAAAAAATAAATAAATGTTAAAATTCTCTCTCTCTGCCTCACTCTCTTCTTAAAAAAAAAAAAAAAAAAAAAAAAACAGGAAACCACCTTCATTTGAAAACAACGGAATGGAAGGATTTTTACAAAAATATCATGTCTTGATATTCAGATTGTGTAAGAAGTGTTGATAATTTGTTTTTGTCTCCAGTGTTTCCAAATTTCCCCAAAAGAACACTTTTTGCTTTTCTGATTATGAAATAAAGCACAACCCCATGATTGGGCACTGCCCTGCCCTACCCCACCCACAGGCTGCCAGGGAGGATTCTTGGGAAGGTTTGGGAATTGCTGGGCTTTGTCTTTTGAGGCATGGAATTTGGGGAGCAGCTGCTGCCACTGAGTAGAGGCAGAGGAGGGCACCCCTCCCCATTTTTAGGCAAAGATAAGGTGTGATTTAGAGATAAAGCAGCAGGTTTCAGGGGGCACCTCTGATGAAGGTTCTGGAAGGGATGCTGACAGCCACCTTCAGCCCAGGGGAACCCTGCACCCATGACATGCTCCAGTGTGCTTGTTAAATAATCACCCATGGTGCTTTACAGTGTGGGGGTGTCATGCAGAGGAAAGTAGGGTGACCAGGACAGGCAGAGCCTGAGGAATAGAGAGCCCACCAGCCAAGTCCCAGGCCCACACTGGGGTATTTCAGGGTAGTACCAGACACAAAGCAAGCTTCCAGGGATGGCGGATGGAGGCCAACCTCTCCTTGGAAGTCAGGGAAGGCTTTCCTTGTGCCAGGGGGTCTCTCTCTTCAGAGAGAAAGGGCTGCAGAGACAGGCTCCACCCACTCCCTTCACTAAGGGAAGGCCTGGGACAATCCCAGCCACTCTGGGATGCTCACTTTTGGTCAGTCAGAATGCAAATGCCTGTGGGTCTCAGAAAATGGAAAGGGGTAGATATAGCAAAGCAGAAGAGGGTCCCTGGGCAAAGGAAATATTAAAAATACAGACTCCTCATGTTTCCTGGGAGAATGAGCCTTACCTTGGATCCTGGTCCACCATCAAATACAGGCTGAGGCAGCACACAGCCCCTGTCCGTGCCACCGTGCAGCAGATCCCCCACCACCACCCCCTGAGCCCTTACAGGTTGCACAGGTCATTTTAGCTGCCCGTCAGGCAGAGCCATCAGGCTAAAATGCCAGGCACTCTCCGACACTCTCAGATGGTGAGTTCTCAGCAGGACAACTGTGTTCCAGAAGATACATGAGATCCCATCCTTTTGCCATATCCTGGTCACATGGCCCAATGTTGGAAGTGGTTCTGGGTAACAGAAGGAAACAGGGATAGGAGCTTCCTCCGAGAGAGGTTCTGTTGGCACTTCATGGAGGTTCACAAGTGAGGGAACCTCAGTAAACATGTCACATCCTTTGCTGACTAGGAAAGGGTCTGGTGTGTTCCAAGGAATTTGGACACCAGACCACAAATATGGAAAAGATCAGTCTTTTAACATCAGACATCAAAGTTCTTCTTGGAGTAGGAATTATTTTGTGTAGGGGGAAAAAAAATTTGCTAAGCCATTTGGGGGTGAAAGGTAAGGTTCTGAGACACAGGAGAAAAAAGCACAGGATTGGTCAGAAGTCAAGGGTGAGACAGAAGAGAAAGGAAGGGGTCACGAGAGATGTGGCCGGGAGCCTGTGGCGAAAGAGGGCAAAAGAAATTCCAATATGGTGGTGGAATTTTAAGAATAAGAGGTCTGGTATTCCGTTCTAAGCTGTTTGTGTGGGTTTGTGATGTGAAATGTCTCTAGCACTGTGAGCTATCAGTGAATTCTATTACAAAAGTCGTGCATGTGTATGTGTGTGCGTGTGTATGTGTGTGTGTGTGTGCATGTGAAGGACAAGGTGCTGTTTTCCGGGTGACACAGTGAGTTTGGCTTAGGGTGGGTTTGGGTATGGAAAGGGTTTGAGTATTGACAACTGAGATGTGAGGAGATCATGAGACCCTGGGGACAGCAATGTCCCGAGCTAACTTCATCTGTAGCTCAGGTGAAGCCTTGTCTGCCATCTGCGTCCGTGTTGCACAGGCCTGCTGGGATCCCTCCCAGCTTCCATCTTGAACTCAAAGGGTCTTTGATAACAGGAACCATGTCTATGCAATTTCATCTGCAGACTTTTTCTAAATTCTTGCTGAAGCCAGACTCCAGCCTCCTCATCTCTCATTTATCATGCTCCCTGTGGTCAGATAATCTTGGCCACTACCGTAAGTTGAGCAGCCACCTATCAACTTTCAAGCAAGACCTCCTTGAGACTGGCCTCCCTGCCCTTCCCATCTTGCCCCTCTCTCCCCCTCACCACTGCCCTGCATTTCCAGCTCTGGCCTCCTCCTTGCAGGCCTACTTTGTCTCTGCTGCCTCCATACTCCTGCAAGATGTTCCCCTCAGTCTAAAGGAACCCTTTCTTCTGAGTTCTTTTCACCACTGGATGCATGCACTGTCCCCTCCCTGTGAAGTTTATTGCAGCCATATGACACCTCAGCTTTACTGAGTCCTGACTACTCACAAAGGACTAAGATCCATGCTGGAAACCCAAGCAGCCCTTCCCACGGCCCTCGTCCTGCAGCTCTCCCCGCCTCCCTATGCAGCCCTCTACAGCCTCCCAGAGCCGCAGCAGATCCTCCAGGTCACTGCTGCAGAGACCCCTGACTAGATGCATTGGAATCCTGGCCGGATGCATGCTCTTCCTTCTAACCTGGAGCATAAAAATAACTGATCAAGGCAGAGACCCCCACCCGCAGCCTTCTGGGGAATACAAGCTGTCACTGGGGTCTGTCGACTGCATCCTTGGGCAGCTTGGAGAAGCCAGCTGCCTTGCTCCTCTGGCTCTGCCAGCTCACTTGAGTCTGCTCCCCTTTACTCTCTTCCCATGGAGAGGCAAGGCTGAAGCTCAGGCTCCTGGGATGGGGATCAGTGACAACCCTGCACACCACTTTATAGAAGTCACTCTGGGCCCTTCCTGAGAAGATGTTTTAATAGAGGAAAAAATGCCGGGGGAGGAAATTGAGGATACTGGGTGCATGAAAGAAGGAAGGCGATTCAGAGAAGGAGAAAAGGGTTTAAGAAGGCGGGCTTCTGTCCTAGAGGCTTCTCCCTCTTGCAGAGCATTCTGGGAAGGCACATGGCAAAGAGGACGGGCATTTCATGTATTCCCTTTACCGTGCCCACATCACTGGAGGGAAAGACTTCCGCGAGTGTATCACAGGCAGTGAGAGCAGTGCAAGGAGGCGGGTACCCTGTTCTGCAGAAACGGACAAAACAGCACATTATGCCTGCCTCACCCCGGCCTCAGCCTCGCCACGGCCCAGCCAGGCCGCAGCCCACAGTCAGGACAAGCACATGTCAAGGGCCTGTTCAGCTTGCAAGGCACAGAGTCCAGAGTATCCTGGCCTGGGGTCCCCACTCCTCAACAGCTCCCCAGCCACCCCTAGACGCTCCAGGACATAAATCCAGAGGTCACACCCAGAGCCCCAGCGACCCCTGAGGGGAGTCTCTTACACACCCCAGGGCCAGAGTCATGAGGTCAACTTAAATATTTACACCAAGACCATGGATCAAGGACCAGCTTCCCCTTCAAACACTCCATGACTCTGAGCCACTCTCTGCTGCTCTCTGGACCTCAGTTTCTCCATGATGGCTTAGGATCCATCAGTGGCTTCAAATGTTTCTTAGCTATGGAAACTTCAGCTCAGGCAGAATCTAACCCAGTGAGCATAGGTAAGGCATCCCTACATGGACCTGCTCTAAGATAGGGGGCATGGTGCCCAGAAGCAACTGGTCAAGTTCCTGGCCGCTCAGCACACAATGAAAACAGTGAACCCAGACCATCTCTGAAATTCTGAGATTCTGCTAGTACGTGCTCAGGTTTTGCTGTGTGGCCTCTGTGTATGCATGGGTGTAGGGTCAGGGAGGATGAAAGACAGGACAACAGTCCTTGCCTCAGAGGGCTATAATAGCATGCAAAAAAAAGTGTCCACAATGCACATGTACACATAAGCACACACATGTGATCCATGTGACCGAGTGTGCATGACTGATGGGCAGGTTCAATGACAGGTCCCAATGAGCTTGGTGCAGAGCATATGAAGCTCAAGACTCCTTTACACAAATGAGCTTCCCACTGTCCCTGCCCCAACATCCCTACGATGATATAGGAGGAAACCGAGGCCTTGGATACAATGAGATTTGGCCAAAGTTAAATGACTGCATAGTAAAGCTGGACCTATACCCACGTTCCTTGGTCCTAAGTATTTATTCTCCCACATCAAGGCACAGATAATATGAATTCTTGGCAGATCCAAATTAGGCATTACTGTCCACAAAATCAAGAGAAGGGTTAAGGAAGACTGATGGGGTATCATTAGGAAAGTCCTGGCTGGTACATGACCCCTCATCACTTAAAATGCCATGATCAGATATGCCTTCCCCCCAGAGCAGAAGGCCACCCCTGGGTTCCAGAAACTTCCTCAACCCACACTAATGCCCAAGAACTTGCCAAGGCCAACGTGGTACTCACTTGCTGGTGAGATGGAGCTTGGGAGAGAGCCCATTCTCTCCAAAAATTGTGATGAAGACATTGGCATCCGTCCCTGCACCACGAACGTCCCCCGTAGCTGTGACCACCTCATACACTGGAGGAGAAAAGAAGATGGATTGTAGGCTCAGGAGAGAACCCAGAATTCTGTATAAGCTTGGGGAAACCAGAACTCCTACCAGCCTCCAAGGGATGCCCCGGCACAATGGACTCTGGGAATCCTTCTACCCCGGATCTCCAAAAGCCTCTGAGCCAGAGTCAGACCCACACCAGCTCCTGCTGCAAGACCCAGACTTCACCTTTGATATCATACTTGTTTTGCAGATAAGGAATCTAAAAGCAGGAGATGAGTCCAGTCACAGCCTGCATAGTTTCAATACTAGATGGAGCCCAAGGCCTCTCAGGATTATTCCAGCACAGCACAATGAAGCCTCCCAGCCTTCTTCAGGGTCTGCAGCTGTCCCCTAATTTCCTCTTTGCCTTCTACATGATGCAGCCAGAGCCCACCCTCACCTCCCACAAACCACCTGGGCAGTGCCAGTTCAGGGGAAGCCACCCAGGGCCAAGTGTGCAAGCTTTGCAAATGGTCTCTCTTTGGCAGGGATACTGAGTTCCCTCTTTAGGGCCTCTTGAAGTTTATTTGATTTGCTATTAATTCCTCCCATTGCCAGGGAATGAGTACCATCAGAGCCTACCTGCTGGCTACGGAGAAAAGGAAAGACAGAGACTGTGAATAGCTGCAGCCAGGTAAGCAAGCCAGATGACTAGGGATATTAGGTAGTTAGCAGAAGTGTTGGCCAGGCTGCAGGACCGTGCATCCAACATACTTCCAGAATCGACTCCCAGAATCACAGCCCAGACCTGGCCTGGGGAGAGTAGCTGCTGCCAGCCACCCCAGAGCCATGTCACCTCTACCAAGTGGAAACAGCCAAATCACATCCCCATCAGTCTGCCCCTCCTATTCCAAAATAAATGCCAGGTTCTCAGCCTGTTGCATGAAAAGGTTCTCTTCTGAATCAGTCTTGGTCTGGAAGCTGCCATACATGCGTGCAGCAAGGGAGGCTGAGTTTGAGAAGCCAGCAAAATGTGGTGCCAGGTGTCCATCACATCATAGGAATATATTAACACCAATACTTAGTAGTTGTAGTCATAAACAATATTGCCTGACATCCTTTTATGTATCGAACCCTGAGCACTCGAGTATTGAAGCAAACCTATTATCATTCCTACTTTCTAGTCTTTCCAGAGCTGGTCCCCCAACCAGCTGCTGAGTATATCTGAGGTGCCCCAACGAGGCCCAGCTTATGGGGAGGAAATTTGGGGATTAGACATTCAAACCTATCTATTCAGAGTCCATTCCTCTTAGGCGGTTTGTCCCAGGTGCTGATGGCAAAGTTGGGGGCTGAGGGTTGAGGGATCTGAACACCTTCATGCAGCTGGTGTGCTCTAGGCCTGCAGCAGCTGCATGACAGGTGCTGCTCACACCACGGCAATCCACAGTTTGTGTGAGCTGCTGCTAAGTACCCCATTGCCATGCCACAGAGATCTGGGGGTGGCCATTGCTGGCTCCTCCACTTAGAAGCAGGGTTATCCTCGACAAGTTCCAACCTCCCAATAATACCTGGTCCACTGACTGTTCTGGGGATTATGTATGTATGTCAAGACTCTGGCACATAGAAGATACTCGATTAGCCTTTCTTTTTTTTTTTTAAACTATTGTTTATGCAGAGAAGCTGGTTTGAGCTCCAGGAGCCAACAGCTCGTTTCTTTGGCAGTCAGGATGTTGGCTGAACTAACATGCACACAAATGATGTACCTACATTCCAGAAGTCCTCAAGGAGCACCTTTGTCCTCCTAGGCCTGTGATGACCAGCAGCAGTGTTTGGGTGCAAGGGGACATTCTGATGTCCCTGGTTCTGATGATACCCCATCAAAGCACTGAGGTGGGGCAGAAGCAGTGTGTGTGTGTGGTTCCCTGTCACTCATGATAACCAGAGCCTGCATTCTTAATAGCCTGCAACCCTAGAGGAGCTGGATCTGCAAACCACCCCTGACCCTGCAGGCTCTGGAGCCTGAAGTGTTGCCTGCATGGTTTGCACATGCGTCAGGGCATGTCCAAACAAAGCATTCACAGAAGGACCAGCCTGATAGAAATTCTAGAATCATATGAGAGAAGAAGAGCCCCAGGGATGACTGATTTGGAGAAAAGTCTGGGGAACAGAAGAGGGATGAGGAAACTACCTCAATAGCTGACACAGGGTTACACAGTCACAGACACCAGCCATAAACAAACTGACCCACTGGACATCACTTTAATTAAGACCACGAAGAGAATGAAAATACGAGCCACCAACTAGGAGGTAACAAAGGATTCCTGCCCAGAAGACATAAAGAATTTACACAAATAGACAAGAAAATAGAGACCACATAATTTTTAAAAAAAATGTAGATGTTGATGAGCCTTTATTTATTTATTTATATGTGGCACTTAGAATCAAATCCAGTGCCTCACACATGCTAGGCAAGTGCTCTACCACTAAGCCCCAGTCCCAGCCCCAAGAGACCACATAATTTTTAAATGTGCAACAATTTCTTTAAAAGATGGTCATGCACTTACCATAAGATCTAAAAAATCCACTTTTAGACATTAACCAAAGAGAGATGAAAACACGTCTACACAAAGCTCTATGAATTCAGTCTCCACAGTGGCCTTATTCCTGATGGACCCAAACTGCAACCTAAATGTCCACCCACAGGTGAATGGATGAACAAACCACAGTGAGAAGGCACGGACACTGCCATGCACGGTGGAAGAAAATCAAGCACATTACACTGAACTGAAGTCAGACCAAAATACTACATTCTTTCCAAGGCTGTTTACGCGAAACTCTATAAAAGATTAATCTATTTGTAAGTAAATTGTACTTCAATAAAGTTGAAAAGTGGACAAAAGACAAACAGACATGTCACCAAAGAGGACATCCCAATGGCCAACAAATGTAGGGAAACATGATCACAGCAACCTGGGAGGCTGAGGCAGGAGGATTGGAAGTTCAAAGCCAGCCTCAGCAACTTAGCAAGGCCCCGTGTGACTCAGCGAGACACTGTTTCAAAATAAAACAGAAAAAGAGCTGGGGATGTGGCTCAGTGGTAAAGCATCCTTGGATTCAATACCCAGTACCAAAAAAAAAAAAATCACAGGGAAACATGCTCAGCACCATTATTAATTGGGGAAAAGCAAATTAAATTACAATAATATACCACCATATGCCCACCAGAATGGCTAAAATTAAGACTGACAACATCATGTATTGGCAAGAACGTGGAGCTACTGTCACCCTCAGACAGGGAGGTGGGTGTGTGCGTCTACACTAGCACCCAGTAGGTAAAACATATGCTCACCCTGTGACCCAGAAGTTCCACTTCCAGTTACAAATCCAAGAGAAATGAGTGCGTGTGTCCATCAAAGATGGGAACAAGATTTGTAACAGCTTTACTCATAAGAGCAAAATAACTGGAAATAGCTCAAGTGTCCATCAACAAGACAATTGTAAATAAACAGCGATGTATTTATAAAATACAGTCGGACCCACCAACCAACTACATGATATGTCACAACAGGGATGAATCTCTTGGATATAATGTTGAACGCAAGAGAAGATAGATGCAGAAAAGTATTCACCATATGATCCCATTTATATGAAGTTCAAGAACAGGAAAAAAAAAAGCCAATCTATGAGGATAGATTCTGGAGAGTTGTTAGCTCTGGGAAGGGGTATGAAGGACTTGGTGGGGGCTGGGAGTGTTCTGATCTGAACAGTGGTTACACAGCCCGTGCATTGCAAAATTAATCGCTCTGTATCTTCATAATTTTTTTGGACTATGTATACATTCATCCTTAATTTAAAAATGCAATTTAAAAAATCTAATTCAGAGAGCCAAAGAAGAATCTTGTGGAAGTGAGATATCTTGTGGAAAACACAGAATTCTATTTGGCTCTAGAGGGAAGGACCCTAACTACTAAAGCCCCCAGGCCAGCACCCAGGACAATCAAGGGCATCACACTGCTCTTAGCAGGAGCCCAGCACTGCAAATGCTGGAAGGGCTCTGCAAATAATTGCTTGGATGAATAATTATGTGGAGTAGAAAATGAATGATTGCAATAATCAATGGAATGAAGAAGGAGGACAACAGAACGAAGCTGACCAGTGTTAGAATCCCAATGCTACTATTACTGGCCTTGTGAGGGCTACTGAATTTCTTACTAAGACTCAACTTTCTCATCTCTGAAGTGGGGATAATATTTTCCTCTAAATATTGTGGTAAAGATTCAATTAAATAAAACAAGGTGTTCAGTGTTCATACTCATTGACCTGGCACTTTCCTCCCTTGGGAATTTATTTTACAGACTCTCATAGTTGAATGAAAAGATATTGCCACTATCTATCACATCACCATCACTGTCACCATCACCTATCACTGTCACCATCACCATCACCAATGTCATCCCCGTCACCATCACTGCTACCATTTTCATTAGCAACAACCCAATGCCTTGGGAAATTGCATCTAGAGAGATGCTGATTGACCCATTTGGGATGCAGGACAGGAGATGCCCCAAGGGCTGTGGAGGATGGCCTCTGAGGTCCCTTCAGCTCTCAGGTTCTGGTATAAGTCACTGTTTTCCCATCCCGGACCTGTCTCAGGCAGAAGGCTCAGCCTGCCCTCCAAGCATTGAGGGAGCCACGCTCCTCCCCGGCTGACAGTGAACAGTGTAGGCAAAACAGAGAAGAAACACCCGGGCCTCTCTCCTTGCCCTTCCTTCTTATCACACACATCAGGACTCCATTTAAAACTAGATCCCAAAGCTCACGGGGAGAACCGTCCTTCTAACCCAGAGCAGCTGGAGCTCTAGTAGCATCAACCACATTTTCCCCCAGGACCCTGCAGCAGATCAGAGAGTTCATGGATCTCTTAGAAATATCAGTGTGGCACCCACTCCAGCTTGATCTTCTCCAACTGGTTTGCCACAATCAGAATTGACAGGTTGTCCAATTTTAGCAGCCAGATCAGCTAGATTCAAATCCTAACTCTGATCAGCTGTGTGATCTTGGGAAAGTGACTTAACCTCTCTATGCCTCAGGATCCTGACTTTAATGACCCAACCCACCTCAGTGCATCATTAGGAGAATGAAATGGGTTCGGATGCGTGACATGTTTAGCACAGTGCCTGGTGCACAGTGCAGTACTCTATTCAGCAGCGCCGAGACACGAGAGAAGGACTCACCTTGAGAAGGGATATTTGAAGTTCTAGTCCTCTGTCCCACTTGTGACTCTGCTCAGGTCACTAGTGTCTCAGAGCCTCAGTCCTCAACCTGTTAAATGGGACTATCACACCTGCCTTCACTGTTCTCAGGGATCCCGAGAATCCGATATGAGAATGGATGGTAAAGGGCTTCAAAACAAAAACCGTGTGGGCACAGCGAGGCAGCAGAGCCACACACAGAGCCGATGGGTGCTGTCTGAGAGGATCAGGTGCATGGGAGCTGAGGGTGCCTGTCCTGTGGTGATGCTGCTCCAAGCCGGTTCCCACACTAGCCCAGCAGAGCAGAGCATGTGTACTGGGAGGTGGCCGGGCCCCACTTGTTCTAGACCCTTCTTTCTTCTACAACCCCAGAGGACACCCAGGGCACCTCCCTGCTGGAGCCACAGCTAAGGCCACCTTCTCTGAGTTGGTTCTGGGTATGGACCACTAAAGGCAGAGCAGGACCCCACAGTCATGGAGTTCAGGGCGGCTGTGGCTAAAGCCCAGTACCGGACTTCCATGTAACTATGGAACCATGAAGAAAGGGACATAACCAGGGAACTCCACCTCTCCTGGGCCATGGCGGGCAGCAGCCGCCACCCCACATAGGGCGTGGAATAAGGGGTCAGGCTTTCTCCCCAAGTTGTCCCTTTATGGCCCCAGCCATTCCATGCACTCTGCCCCACACAGACACACAGACACACAGACCATCCTGTGGACTTGGGCTGGAGCGTTCCCACGGGTCTGTGGTCTAGTCTATTCCGTCCGTCCTGCTGGAACACTGCCTCGGGCATGTTTCTGACCTCTTGTACCATGGGGGCCCTGGCATGGTGCCTCCTCCAAGGCGGGGTAGCTATCTGGGATGACTAGGGGACTGGAACCCTGCAGTCGCCTCCGAGAGCAAAGGCAGGTCCTGGAGACCCGCGCCCACCCCCGCCTTGCGGGACGCACCCCTGGCCTTGTAGTACTCGTGCCCCAGCTCCTCCTCGTCGTCCTCCGAGGCGTAGTTCCGCAGCTCCTCCTCGTACAGGCCCAGGAAATCGATGTCTTTTTTCCTCTTCTTCTTCTTCTGGGGCATCATTGTGCTGGCTGTCCCTTCCTGGCCCACCCAGGCTCATGTGCTCTTCACCTGTGGCCTGGATACCTGAGCGGCAGAGCCACTGTCCCTTGTGTGGCTTCACGGCTGGGTGGGCCAGTGACCTGTCTTCCCGAGGTCTTGTCTCAAAGCCCCTTTCCCCTCTCTGGCCCCTGAGACGCTTTTGTTGCTCTTCTTGTCCTGTCCCCTCCCTCCACCAGCTCTCCTGCTTTACATCTGCCCTGGGGGTTCTCCGTGGGCCTCCTCACTTATTTATGCAGATGAGCCAGGCTGTCCTCTGCCTCCCTGCTCCTCCCCCGCCAGTCCCCACTTCACAGAGTCTCAGATGACATGTTGAGGGTGGCATCTGTTTTCTACCTGGTCTCCCTAGGGAGGGCCACCTGAGACCCCTCACTCCAGGGGCAAGCAGAGTCCTCCCCACTGACCCTTTCAGCCTCACAGGCCAGGAGGGCCCGGAACATCACCCTAGGGCCAGGGTCCTATTGAGGAGGACAGACCAGGAACAAGCCACACTCCCGGCTCCATTTCTCTTCATTATTCATGAGCTCCGATCAGCTTACTCAGAACCCCGGTTCTTACTGGATCCTTGTTGTTTTTCTGTTTCCTGCTGGCTTCGGGAAGTGGCCCTTCTACAGAGGAGACCAGCTGCACCCCACAAGCTCTTATCCCACAAAGCAGCTATTGAGCCGTGAGTTAGTGACACTCTGGGGCCAGAGCCCAGGACCCTGGGGAAGCCCGCTTAACCTCAGGGACCCTCAGCAGTGCTCAGACACCAGCCTCTGCCTTACCAAGAACGCTCAGTTTACCCATGTTAATCTCTGGACTTTTAGCAGCCCCTCCCCACCCCTGTCATCAAGAAGAGTTCCCTTGTGGCTACCAGACCCCTCTTTCTTGCTTATTGATCTTATTAAGGCACCTAAGACTTTATTACAATTCCTTACAATCCAAATCATAAGATTCATTTTGAAATGCAAGAAAATTTCAATTCACTTGAAACTCACTCCTGTGTCCTTGCAGCATGAGGTTGCTGGACAGAATGGAGCCCCTGTATAACCTCTTGGCTGTGTGACCTGGGACAAGGCCACTGTTTTCCCATCCATAAAAGGGTCATAATGACCCTCTGGTGTTATTCAGCAGTGGAAGAAAGCACTTCAGTATCAAAAACCTCCACAATATGCCATCCCAGATGCCTGCACCAGATGGGATGTTTGTGTGGGTCTCTCCTGGTTGATATGTTGAATATGAGCGAATGACAGTTCCTATATCAGGTGATGGCATTAAGAGGCAGGTCATTGGGAGGTGATAAGGTCACAAGGGTGGAGCACTCTTGAGTGGGATTAGTGCCAACTAGAAGCATCTCATGTAATTCTGTACTCTAAACCAAAGGAGCAACTATAAAGCAGCAATTTCAAAGGGAAGGAGAAACTTTCATGAATAGATGGAGGGACGCTGACCAGCAGGTAGCACTCAATTCTCTCCAAGTCTGGGGCTGCTTTGTTCCTGTACTACTTGTTGGAGCCACCCAGATCCCCCACCAGCAGGGGAGTCTGATCACTGACCCCAAATATCCTCATCCAGGAAAACCAATCCCACCTCCTCCCCTACTTTGCTGAGGATCCACCCAGAACTCAGCTCCAAATCTACCAGAGGAGCAGGACTAAAGTTTAATGGTGGGTGACGCGCGCCCCCTGCTGGCACCATGTGGTTTGACCTCAGGGACTTTGCGGATTACTAGGAAATGACTAGAAAAATCACTTTGTACGATGATCTGTTATGAGAAAAAGAATAATAAAATATTCACTTTTAATGAAGTATAATTCAGATAAAAATTTTTATTGGAGTTTTTTTTAAAAATTGAAACGAATCTTTTTGAAGAATCCCCTGGCCTTTGAACACATGTATGAGAAAGTAGGTTCTGAGTCAGTGTATTGACAGGGACCTGGAACAGCTGGAACTCACACCACTGAGGGAGTGTGTGATGGCCCAGGCACCTGGGGACAGAGCAGCACTGTCTTATGCAGCCAAACAAACACTCCTTGCACAATCCAGAAAGAAAGTCCACTCCTTGTCATTTGCCTAAGGGAGATGACAATGATCAGTATGTGAATGTTCACAGAAGCTTGATTCACAATAGCCTCAAACTGTAGACAACTCAGGTGCCCATCAACTGGTCATTGGGTAATCAAATCATGCATCCATCTATGCAGAGGAAGACTTTTCAGCAATATAAAGAAAATAGGGAGGGGCTGGGGATGTGGCTCAAGCGGTAGCGCGCTCGCCTGGCATGCGTGCGGTCCGGGTTCGATCCCCAGCACCACATACCAACAAAGATGTTGTGTCTGCCAAGAACTGAAAAATAAATATTAAAAAATTCTCTCTCTCTCTCTCTCTCTCTCTCTCTCTCTCTCTCTCTCTCTCTCTCTCTCTCTCTCTCTCTCTCTCTCTCTCTCTCTCTTCTCTCACTCTCTCTTTAAAAAAAAAAAAGAAAAGAAAAGAAGGAGACATGCTCTTACCTGGATGAATCTCAAAACATTATGCTCAAAGAAACCAGGCAGAAAAAAAAATGTACATGCTGGACAATTGAGTTCACATTCTCCAAAAGGAAAAACCAGAGGATCAGAAAACAGGCCAGGTGGACGGGGGCTGTAGTAAGGAAGGAATGGACTGTCAGGGATCACAAGGAGGCTTTGAATGACCTCAGAAACAGGACACGGGCTCCACCTGTCTCTCTCAAATGTCCCACCTTCCCACATCCCCATGAACACCTATCTGTCCAGCCCATGATGCAGACCTGACCATTGGCCCGATCCTCATCCTAGGCCTTTTGACTAGCGTGAAAATAGGCCCAGATCCATCTCTCATCCCAGGCAGGTCCAAGGGCCAGATTTGAGGAAGCCTTGGTGTCACCATATTCTCCCTCTAGACCTAGAGTGAAGCCCTCAAGTGGGCAGCGTAAGAGTCCTCGTGGCCAAAGCTGACTCTTGGATTCCCAGCAGTTTACATACAGATAAAAACACAAAGGGCATGCGGGGTGATGGACCCAAACCTCTGATAGCAGGAAAGGTCTGTTAAATCCCACTGACTACTGCACGTGTGCATGCATGCTCGCCCACACAGGCACGCACGTGCAAAATGATCTTGTTGGCAGCTCCTCCTCCTTCAAGTATATTCTATTGCTCTTCACTTACATTCCAGTGCAACTGACTTTTATCAACCAAGATCCTGAATTGCAAGCAACAGAAGCCAACACTGGCCAATCAAAGCTTTTAAAAAAGTTTTATTTAAAAGTTAATAAGGGAGACCTTCGAATTTTCCTGAGTTCTAAGAACTACACTTAGAAGCTACACCCTGGAACTGATGCTGGGAAATTGCATGTCTGGTGAGGACCCCACTGCCACCACAGCTAAGCCTGGAAGTGTGGCTTGTGTCCCTAAGCTCCCAGCATGAGCTGCTGCTACCAGAACCATGGCTGCTGCCTATCCCTGCTGGTGTCACCCTTTCCAGAATGGACTCCACTGCCTTCTGCCAATCAGCCTGAGACCTGCACATTTGAATGGTTGAGCTTCTGTCATGTACGCATACCCTTGCTAGAAAGGAGTCTAGGAAAGGGAATATTTGGCATTTCCAATGTCTAGGTGGGGAGCTGATCTCTTCTCCGAGGACAAAAGGATTAGGATGCTGGGTTGCCAATAGAGTAACAAATGTCCATGACATGAACAGAATCCTAGCTCCTCAAACAAATAGTAGAGGCTCTTTCTACCCTGACTCAACCTCCCTCTTCTGAAAGCCACCCTGGGTAAACAGACAAAAGCCTATTTCCTAAGCACAACTGCTGCAAGCCTCAGTTTGCTTGGCTCTCAGAGCTTTTGCATGTATTTTTCTATCAGTCACCTCTTGCTTTGTAACAATCAGCCACCCAAATCTGAGTGGCACAAGCATTAGTTCTCGCTATCTGGGCCTGGGCTAGTGACTCATCTCTGCTGTCCTTGCCTGGTATCTCTACATCAAGCTATAGGACTGACTGGCCTTTGCAGGGACTGCTGTCCTCTGCACCCATTAAAGCTGGGCTGGGCTGAAGGAGCACTCCCCACAAACTCTGGCCCAGAGAAAACCTCTTCTCATTCTGTGGTGGAAGTGCAAGGGGCAGGGATGGCAATCTTGACAGTGCATGCACTTTATAGGGCTTCACTTGCATCCCTTCTGCTAATATCCTTCCACCAAACAAAGCGACACCCAGGGCCAAGCCCATGGTTGCAGGGAGAGGAAGTGGGTCCTGCCTTTGTAGGAGGGTCTGGAGGATCACAAGGCTGGACAAGCACACTGTGAGGAGTGAAGAATGGGACAGTGATTCACTCTACCCCAATCTCATCCCCCATATTGCTACTCCTTCCAGCTAAGTCCTGGGTACCTCCAGCGCGTGGCCCAGAAGGTGTGTGACTCTCAAGAATGAGTGAATGAGTGGGAAGAGGGTAAGGAACATGTAGAAACTGAAGAACCTGGGTGCATGGCCTGGCTGCTCCGCCTCCCACCCGTGGCTCCCTGCCTGCCCTGTGCCCTGAATTCTCACTCAAGGTAATCAGCTGGTCTGGGGTCTCAGATTGAGCCATCTCCTGTTCTGGGAGAGGAAGAGGATGCGGTGTCTGAGGTTGGTGGTCTTCTTATTTCACTGAGATGTGAGTTCACCTTGGGCAAACTCTGGCTAGCTCCAGCTGCCTGGAGTGTTAGGAAAGCAGGCCTTGACCACCTTGTCTCCTCCAATCCATTCTGCTCAGCAGCCGAGGGATTTTATCTAAAAATCAATCAGATTGCACCAATCTGCAGCTTATGTGCTCCAGTGGCTTCCCGTGCCCTTAGAATAAAACCCGAGCCCCTCTAATTCTAACCCCTGCAGGCTCACACCACTCTCTCCATTCTCCAACCATACTGGCTCCCCCTGGCCCCATTTCCTCCAGTCAGACTCCTCTCCCTGAATGGCCTCACTGTCCTGAGCAAAAGCATACCCAGGCACCCTACTGTACACCTACTGAAGGGTGAACACCTTCCCTCCTGGGTTTGGAGCCCCCGCCTCCCTTCTCTCTCACCAAGATTGCGCCTCCTGGTGGCCATCCTGTGCATCTCTCCCACCTCACGAGGGGGCAACCTCTCAGTCACTCCAGCCAGAATACTTTTCCAGCCAATTGACATCCATTCCCCAGTTGCCTCATTTCCGAGAAAACAAATGATCTATTCCTTGGCCATGTTTTCAGGGTTCCCTTCCCCCAAACATGAGTGAAGCTCCTTCATTCCCTACAGATTTCATCCAGAACCATCTGACTGGAGAGTTCCAGTGCCCAGTCCAAGACCAGGCCAATGGTCCTGCTCCTGACCCCTCCCACTTGCTCTTCCTTGGCCATTGCATGTGGCTCATGGCTCTCAACTTCTGGACCCAGTTCCTCAAACACGCTGTGCTCTGTATGATGGAGAACACCTTCATTTTCGCTTGGTCAGGACAACTCTTCCTTTGACATCAGATGAAATCTAGGACAGATCTATGATTGTTGGAGTCCCTATCCGGTAGTTTAGAAGTTCATCAGGCACTACAAGTGACAAACACTGTCTGGATTCAGTAAGGGGACTTCACAGATCCCACAGGAGCCCACCCTGGATCCTCAGCCAACTGGGACTTCTCCGTACCTCCTCCCCAGATGGCTGTGGTGGCTGCTGAAGTCTGGGGAGGTGGCAATCACCTTCTATCTGCCTGCCCCCTTCTCTTGGTAGCTGCATGTTCTGACATACACCCTGCCTGTCCCCTGCCGCAGAACTGGGACACTCTCAAGAGGACTTTATGTACCCCCCAAGGACATCAGTGATGTTTAAAGTCTTCTGTGGTGATGTTTGTGGGTTCACTCCCAGGCTTCCCTCTTTTAGCTAGGTTAAATCTCAGAGAGAGAGGCAGAGACCCTACCAGATGGAGACTCAGATCTATGAGCACGAACTGCCACACTTGTCCTTTTAGTTAGATGAACAAAATCTCCAGCATATGCTCATGTCAGAGCATCTAGAACAAAAATATCATCAAACTCAATGGCACCAGATTCGTAGATCTGCACAATGTGCCCTCAGATGATTGATGGTTAGATGGCTTAGTCAAGAAGAAACATTCTGGGCCCCAAATATCGAATGATTTACATTGGGATTTGGTTTGCACAAAATCTTGCCTGGGAACTCAAACAGAGAAAGCATGTATCTAGTCAGAGAGCTGAACCCTGGGTGCATTACTGCCTTCTCTTCTTTGAGAGGTGAGGGTGTCCACATCCTGCCTTTGGGGTGTATATACTTTTGTTTTGCTATCCTTGGTAAATCTTGCTTGTGCCTTACTTTTGATGCATCCTAAAATTCTTTTCAGTAACATAAATCCAGAACCTCCCCATGTTGAATTGAGGTCCCACTGGCCCTTTGGAGAGACCTCCTCAGACCCCTGTCAGGTGACACTCTGACCAGTTCCTTGGAACGGGCAAATCCTAATGCCACTTCTGCCCCCACAGTACACCCCACAGACTCCCCTGCCAAGGTCCCCTCATTCTGACAGGCCACCCTCTTCAGTAAAATACCTTTTAAATGACCCCTAGCTGACCTTTCTACCATATGACCTTACTACCAGGACTCACCTCTTGACCCTACATGAGACCAATGCTGCTGCCCTGGCCACCACGGCGTCCCCTGCAAGAGCAGGGCTCCAGTGCTATGGGAATCCACAGCTGCTTTCTGGGGATCCTGCAGGAGCCGCTCTCACTAAGCCTGGAGCCAGGAGGCAGCACTGGTGACCCCCGCCCCCCTCCTCCCGCCATCTACCATGATGGTGGTGCTCACAGTACTGTTCTCCCTGTGAAATCCCTTTAAATCAACCATGACTCCATCAGCTCTTTGCCCTGTGATAAGAGCCCAAGACCAGCATGACTGGTTTTCTGTTGATTTGTCTGAAAGTATGGGTGTCCTAACTCCATTGCCTTGGCTGAAACTGCCATGCTCTCCCTCCTCCAGCAAGCCTTCCCACCCCTGGAGGGCCATGTGTCAGACTTCTGTGCCTCTACTAAGAAAGGGCCACTGTCTGCCCTTCGCTTCCCCGACCCTGCACATGTACCTCTGTGGATGGGTCTGCTTTCCCCATTTGTCTTCTAGGGAGCTTTTGGCCCTGTCCCCACTACGCCATCCCCAGGTCACTCATCACCCAGTCCTTGCCACCAGCAGGAGCCTCCTAACTGGCCTCCCCTCAGGCACTCTGGCCCCAGCAATCCCGCCCTCCACAGCAGTGAGCTTTTTCAATTCCAGCCTGATCACGTCCTCTTCCCCCTTCAAGGACTAGCCGATCCTCTGAGAATCAAAATCAACCTTGCTAATGTGGCCACCTCTTCCCCACAGGGTCCTACTCTGTCAGTGCTCCAGCTGTTCCCCTCCTTCTGGGGGCTTTCTCCCCTTGCAGGCCCCGGATGCTTCCCCCACAAGGCCACCTAGACAGGCTCCCTCTGCAGGGAGCTCTCCATGGTGCTTGATCCCTTTCCCGGCACCTGTAGCTCCTTTACAGCACGGTTTATAATTAAACTTCAGCTGGGAGGTTTTTGACTACCTCCATATCTTGGACCAGTCTCTACGTTCTGTGAGTGGTGACATGTGCATTTGTTCACTCTTATGTCCCAGTTCCTCAAGGAGCCTAGCTCAATGCATGGGCTCAGAAAATACTTGTTAAATGAATGAAGTGGTAAACAGCATGAACTTGATAAATGATGTGAAGTAAATAGACAAATGACAATCATACATACATTCGTTCAAAAATATTTATGGAAATCCCCCTTCTTATGGAAGAGTGTCAGCTCTTTTTCCCACCAGGATCGAATGGAAGACAAGGGCCAGGTCTCCGGGAGGAGCCTCAAATAGTACTTAGGTTTCAGAGTTCTTTGCTTCAGTGTTTAGCATTTTATGATTATAATCATGAAACATCCAAATATCTTACAGCTGTCATCACAATCATCTCAGAGAGGAAATAAATGGTCTCCCTTTGAAAAAATGTCTATGGAAAGTGGCAGGTGGCAGGTGAGCTGAGACCCAGGCTCAGCAGGAGACTAGCACTCCAGAGAATGCTTAAACAGCTGGGGAAAGGAAATGGCAGGAAGGTGTTCTGCTGCTGAGAGGAAGGTGGGGACAGGAGGAGCAGGAGGCAGAGAAGGAAGCCTCAGGCAGGGTAGGCAGAGGCTGGGCCACAGGAGTGCTGGCAGCCGGCTGGTGCCAGGACGGGCCTCCACTGGAGGAGGTTGCCTGTTGGGAATTGGTTTCCCTCCCCTCCATGCCACCTTATCACACTCTGGAACCCATGTTGTGACCATTGGTACCAAAGAAAGTGCTGTGTCTGACATCTGGATAGTCAACAGATACAAAGCAGTCCCCAGAGCAAGAGCTGAAGGCAGAGGGGACAGGAACTTTGTGAGCCTCTAGGAGTGTCACAAGGAAGGCTGCCAGGGTTCCAAGGATGCAAATTTGGGGACACAAGCCATCCATCTACATCTCTGGAGGCAGGCAGACCCACACCAGGCGTCTGTACCATCCATTAAAAATATATATATATATATATATCCTTTTATAAGGGTACCAGAGGAGATGGAGATGGTTTTCTTATTTTTGTGCTGCTGGAGATTGAACTCAGGGCCTTGCACATGCCAGGAAAGTGCTCTACCTCTGAGTCACAACCCCCAGCCTACTGTCATCTTTTAAAAGAGGGTTATGTGTGCTCAAATGCCTTTGATGTGATCCAGGACCTTGATGGAGTTATTTTGCTTAGAGAGAGACAGGTCTGCAGAGCCACAAGATCTGGGTCCAGGTATAAGCACATCTCAAATCTCACCTTCTCTAGGCAGCTCCAGCCCCTATGGACCCTCCTTCCTCCTACTGAAGCACCCAGCCCTCTCTCTAGGTCCCTGTGCAGCCATGTATCAATTCAATAGTCCACTTGACTTCTCCTCTTCTGCTCTCTGAGCCCATCCTGTGAGCCCACCTCCTCCCTTGGTTAGATTGCCACTTCTGCCAGATGTCACAGGTCTCCTGATCTTCAGGTACCCCTACAGTGCCCAAAGATGTGCCCAGGTGGCCATGAACCCCTGGGGATGGATATATGGCAACCTCCCCATATTGGATTCGGCTCTTGTCAGCCCAGTTCAGGCCAATACACACACGTGTGTGCATGCACACACACACACACACACACACACACACACACACACACACACACAAGCAGAGTCTTTGCTAGATGAACCATTTGACTGGCTTTATTGGGTAGAAATTGAGGGTCTTTCAAACCCAGTGACTGATAGACACAAAATACCCTGATGATGTTTTTAGGTCTAGGGTTCCAGCCATCACTGCAGAATCACACGCAGCTAAAATTATGCTACAGGAGTTTGTAGGAACCAAAGCTTCCAAAGCCACATTTGCATAAAAATAGGCCAGCGCTGCAGGGCCCCCTCCCCCAAGGCTCTCAGAATGGCTCAGCGTTTCTCTCCAGGGCCAGGGAAAGCTGATCAACTGGACAAGAGGGGGCTTCTAGCATCCCAGCAAGAGCTACCTCGGTCCTCCCTTTCCTTCTCCAGGGGGCAGGCCCTGTGGAGAAGCGGGCAGTGTGACTTGGCTCCTGGAGAGGAGAGCAGAGAAGGTTGGAGCAGGAACCAATGGAGGCAGCTCAGAGGTGAGTTGCTGCCACCAACTCCTCGGGCTGCATTCATGGAAGCCCTCTGGGAAACACGGAGAGCCTGAATGAACCACACCAGGTACAGAGATCAGCAACTGGCCCCAGGGCAAGCACTTCCACAGCTCCTCTGCTGACATCCTCATCTGTCCTGGCTGTATCTAGGGAGAAGATGGCAGGGGATTGACTCCAGATGACCCTCTGAGCAGCCCACTGTCTGCTTATTGGGATGCAGCGCTCACTTTGCAAAAAAAAAAAAAAAAAAAAATACATAAACATATACGCACATTTCATACTTCAGACAATACTGCATTGTAGGGGCATTATGGCTTTCTACTGTGATGTCCCAGCCTGCGGAGGAAGCGAATCTGCAGTCCATCAAGCCCCTGCCACTTCCCTAAATCATGTGCAGGGTGTGGGAAGACTGGCTGCTTCACAGAGAGACCTTGGACAGAGGGACTTGCTCAGAAGTCAGCCACAGTGAGGGCTGAGCATCCCCAGGGTAAGTATTTAAGACTGACTCTTGGGGGACAGGCAGGAGCGGCCAATTGGAATCCACCAGCCTCCTCCCAAAGAGCCAGAGCAGCAGGACACTGGCAAAGATTTCCTCCACACTGCCACTTCGCTCAGGCCTTTGGTCTGAATGACAGTACCAGGTACCACTGCTGCTCCACTCTACCAGAGGTACAGATCCCAGTGCTGCTGGTTCTGATGCCCTGGGCTTGGCAGACAGGAGCAAACACCCAAGGCCCCTGCACACAAATGCTGGGCAGGCTGTGAGGCCAGGGGTAAAGCCCACACCTGGACCAAATAACCCCAGCAGGAAGAAGAGGGTAACACAGGGAGCCGGAGCTCTGGAGCCTCACCCACCTTGGAAAACCTTGGCCACCTAACAGGAGACCTCTACCACCAATCCACCCCCACCCCCTCACTCCCCTACCCCCCACCCAACCTGGTGCACACAACCGCCATCTTCGGAGGCCCAGGTAGGGTTGCTACCATCTGCCCTATCCTCCTCCTGGGGTAGCGGCAAAGCCCAGGGAGAAAATGGTGGAAATGCTGGGAAAGCAGGAGTATCTACCTGCAGGGAAAATGGTGGTATTCTCAAATTCAGAAAGTAACCCAGGCCTGAGTTGCTGCCCAGCCAGCCCTGGTCCCTTGTGAGGTCCTGACTCCTCCCATGTGCATTAAATAAGGATGCCACCAGCAGAGCTGGAGGTGCAGAATGAGGGTGTTCTGGCCACATCATCAACCTCGCTGCAAGCTCCCTTTCAGGCGGGAAGATGGAAGGGACTGGTCTCCCCTCTCTCCTGTCCTTTTTCATTGGAGGAGAGGTGGCAGGAAAGAATGGCTGAAGTTAGCTACAAGCAAGCTCAGAAGAGGGAGTCTGCCAACTCGGGTACCACCAGAGAAGGGACCCTTTCACTTATGAATTTGTAGATCACTGAAAGCGGATCTCTTAAGCACCAAGACTTTTTTGAGTATGTTTTGAGTTTGGGGGGATGGAAATCATTCTAATCATTCTATTGCCTCCTTAATAACCACATGCCAAGGTTATTTAAAGGAGGTCTCTGCCTGGCGTGATGTCACCGAGCAAACAGAGCTGAACTGCTCTGCTGCTCTCAGCTTACTGCCACATACCTGCCTCGGTTGGCTTGTGGCTTCTGAGATGCATGGATCCACCTTCATTGTGAGACCATTAGCTGCCACTTCTTGCTACGTCTATACACCTAGCATCTGCTGCCATTCTCTTAGCTTGCTCTATTTATAGAAACTAGAGCCAAGTTCACTAGAATTGAATTTGAAGTGAAGGTCATGAGGTTTTGTTGTTTGCAAACTGGCCTTTGATACACAGCTTTAATGGGGTCTCACAGTCCTTCACTGGAGTCCTCGGTGACCTGGGAACGTGCTGGTAAGTAGTCCTGGGAAGTGAGGGTGTTTTACCTCATATTAATAAACCAGTAACCATTTCTCCTTTAATAAACTGTCAAGATCTTCAAGGGTTCTTGTAAACTTTGTGGTTGAAGTGGAATTCTGAGCTTCAGGGGGTTGATGTCCTCTCCCTGCTGGGACGTCTTCAGAGGGAAGATCAGGGAACTCACCCCTGGGTACAGTGGAGAGAGATGGAGGCAGAAACCAGGTACCACCGACCAGCCAGGCAGGTGGCCTCCCTTGCATGTTCCCTCACTGCCACCTGCCTTGATAGTTTTGCACAGGTGTACAGGGAAGGCAGAGCATGGGGCCTGAGTCAGAAGGCTGGGTCCTCACCCAGGTGGGACAGGTTGGGCCTCCCTATGCCAGAGGGTACAGTGTGGTACTCAGATCCCACCCCAGCACTAGCCACAAAGTGTCACCAATCCCTTAATTCTGGATCACAAAATGCACCTTAATCCTAATAGGCATGGATGAATGCCTAATCCAGGCATACTCTGAGCCTCTGAATCCTAGGGGGAGAAATCTGTCACTTTGCTTTTAAAAGACTTTATAATATTTACTTGTTTAAAATGTTTTTGAAGAAAAAAAAAAGCCATTTGGGACCTTTAAAAGTCTCAAGTCTGAATCAGGTTTGAGGGAAGGAAACAAATCCCAAACCAGAAAAAAGAATATGGAGTGGGGAGGGGGCACTGTCATTAAAAGACCATCCAGGGCAGTGATCCTGGAAGTGTGGTCCCTGGGCTGGCCACAGCGTGGCTTGGAACTTGCTCGAAAGGTTCCGCCCAGCCTTACTGACCCAGAAACTCTAGTGCGGCCCAAAGCCACTGAGCTCTCTAAAGATATCTGACACAGGCTCAAGTTTGAGAACTACAGATCTGGAATAGCAGTCCCCAGTCCTGGCTACAGATTAGAAATACCTGGAAAATTTGAAAAACCCTAATAGCCCAGGTCACATCTCAGATCAGAAATTCTTGGGGTGGGGTCTCTTGAGAATTTCTTAAAGCTCTGCAGATGACTCTGGTATACAGCCAAAGCACAGGCCCTCTGCTTGTGGGAGAAGATTCCCAACCATTACACAACAGAACCACCCACCCCGGGAGATCTTTTAAGGTGAGGATTCTGGCTGCCAACCGCAAGACAACTGAAACAGATTCTCTGATCTTTTAAGTAAGGTGAGAGGACCTGGCATAGGAATTATTTTTAAAAGAATTCTGGCAATTCTAAAGTACACCCAGGATTGAGAACCACAGTTCTAGAGGAGATAGGAGGCACACTCCGAAGCCAAGAAGATCATTCAGCTGAAGGACACGCAAGACTTCATTGCCAAAGGAAGCATCTTCCAACGGGAAGGAGACAGTCACTGAGTTCTGGCTTTGGTGGCCAAGAGCTGTCATGATTGTGTAAATTGTTCTTTTTGAAAAAAAAAAATCACAAAAGAGATTCTGCAAGAGAAAATATCTAAAGACCTTTAAAAACACTCTTGTCACTAACGACGCAGCTGCAAGGACAGCTGAGCCCCACTGGCCAAGCAAGACTAGGTTTGCACTTGCCCTCAACCCAGGTGCCCAGATCTCCAGAAGCCAGAGGCTGACCGAGGGCTCAGGACAGCTGCTCAAAGCAAATACAAAAATCAGAATTCTGCTGAAGGAACACTATTAATGTCATTTGAAAGCAGCTTTGCCTTAGCGATTCTTTAAACTTAGGAAGTCTTTGATATATCATGCTAAGTGAAATGAGCCAGTCACAAAAAGACAATATTCTGTGATTCCAAATACTTGAGGGACCTAGAGCAGACAAAGTCATAGAGACAGAAAATGGAATGTTGGTTGCCAGGCAGGGAGGGAGAGGAAAGTGCATTGACATTCAATGGGTTTAAAGTTTTAATTTTGCAAAATAAGAAGAGTTTTTGGAGATTGGTTGCACCATAAAGCAAATGATCTTAACATGCCTGGACTGTTCCCTGAAAAATGATCAAGATGCTCAATTTTATGTTACCCATAATTGTGGATTTTACCACAATTAAAAAGAGAAAGAAATCTATGTGAGTGTTGAGACAAAACAGATTTTGTCAACGCTATAGGTCGCCAAGCATTTGATTTTTGTTGCTAGGTTAATTGCAGGTTATATTTTATATTTAAATATAAAAAGGTAGAAGTGGCCTTGTGTGCCAAATTCTTGTTTTCATCTTCTTCTCAAGATTCCACTCTGGAATTTAGGCCAGACATTGCTAGTCGATGGCAGCAGCCACAGAACCACAACAGGAGTATGCTCAAGGACCCCTGGACATGTTGCTCATGCTGATTGCCTGGTGTCACGCCCTCTCCAGATTCTCAGTTCACCATTTTAACAAGCGCCCAGGTCGTGATGCAGGAGATCTACATGACTTTGAGGAGCACACCGCCTTGCTGGAATGTCTTGGATGTAATCCATCTCCACAGATTGGCCTCTTTTGATGAGACCACTCAAGAATAGCAGAAAGCACACCCTGGCCAGTCACATACCCCTAGCCTGGCCTCACCTGGCCCAGAGTCACAACCAGGCTCCCTTGCTGCAGAGGGATGGGAGCAGGGCATGTGTTGAACTCAGAATGATGTCTCTACCCACAGCCCCCAGGGAATGAGCCCCTGGCCTTCCACTGGAGCAGACATTCTGAAAAGCTCAGCTCATCTGTTTCTCAGCCAAAAACAAAGCATTGAGTCTAGTTTTTGAAACACTGTTGATAAATCCCTTGTATTCTGCATCCGATCCTGCCCTTCAGCTGCAGAAACGCAAGATCCTGACTTATCTCAAGGGGAGTGAGAAGAGGACAAAGGGAAAGAAAGAAAAATAGAACATGCCTTTCCCTTCTTTTTCTTAAGCTAGAGAAAGAGATTGGTCAGCAACCAAGAAGCAGATGAGCAAGATTATGATGATGAAGAAAAATTTAAAAAATAAAAAAAGGAAAAGCAGAAACGAGGTGCTGGACCCAACAGGCCCCCCACCCCCTAGCTCCATTGATGTTCAGCTCTTGGGTCCCAAGCTCCCCAGGATGGGCAGGGGAGTCTGCGCCTTCCTAGAAGGTACTAGGCAAAAAATGACGAGCAGAGAACTGTGCTCAGCTCTGACTCCTCCATGGTGTTAGTCGGTTTATTAACAGGGTGTCCTGCACTGCTGGAGCTTGAGAGGTAAGCAGGACCTCCTTACTGGAGTGAGCATGTGCTGAACAGCCCCAGCTGGCTCTGTGCCAGTGTGAGGGGCACAAAGATGGGCCAGATACTGGGTCTTCCCTTAGGGAAAAACAGACCTTCCACCGAGGACATGGACACCGGGGCTGTGTGTTGTGAGGGTGTCCTAACAGAGTCAGCACTGATCACAGCAGAAGCACAGAGGAGAGAGTGCCCGGTCCAGGACCATAGAGAGTTGGCAGGGCCCATAATTGGACCTCATCTGGAAAAGTGGCCAGATCAAAAGAAGGAAGCCGGAGGAAGGAGCATGGCATGGTTCCAGGCATTTGGATCTGCATGTGCAAAGGCACAGTGCCTGGAGGATCATGGGAAGAAGGGTAGCAGGTGGGTCTCTGGGAAGGCGAGGGAGCCAGTTTGGAATGTGGCCTGCATGACTTGGTAAAGAACCTGGACTTCACAGCACAGGTAGGCAATGGGCCCCACAAAAGGTGTTTTCAGGTGGTAATTCTCTGACAGCAAAAAGATCGGCCAGAGGGATCTAAATTAGGACAAGAGCCGGTCTACAGGGAGGGAATGAACTCTAGGGGGTTTTCCAAGCTGTAATTGACAAGATTTAGTGAACTAATAAACAGAGACTAAAGAAGGAAGAGTCGAAGTGGAGCCAGATTTGGGGCAGAGGGACCTGTGCCTACTGAGAGTCCAGTTTGTGAGGCCTTGAACTAGGCATGGCCCAACACAGTGGCACTTGATCTTGGCAATAGCTGATCAGGTTGGAGTCTGGTTCTCATGTTTCAGATGATGAATCAGAGCCTCCAGGGGCTTCTGGAACTCCCCCAGGTCACATAGCTACTAAGCAATGGAAAGAGACTCTGATTCCAGATTGTTCTTTTAACTATACCAGTCAAGAACAGGTTGGGGTCTGAGAAGCTGCTGAGGTGTGGACACTCAGGGGGCCCCAGGGGAATGCTTCTGATGCTCCCAGGGTAAGAAGTGGGGACAGGAGAACTGGAGGCTGTGAGGAGATGAGATTTCTGCAGGAGCGCTCCTAGTAAGAGCAGAGAACCCTGAGGAAGCTTCACAGAAGAGGATTCACAAAGAAGCTTGAGGAGGAGCATTCAGAGAGGCAGGAGGCACATCAGGGAAGAATGGTTTGTTAGGAAACACAGACAGCTCCGAGAAGACCAGAAGGGCCAAGTGCATCAAATGTCATGCTGCTGTCAAGGAGACCTGAGATAGAGGCCCTATTTGATAATGACAATCTTTATGCTGCACCCTCCGGGATTCAGAGTTAACTTCTGCAAGCACACACCAGGTGATTGTCTCTGAACCTGGATTTCACAGCACTCTGCACAGTGAGCTTCTAAGTGTTGGTGGGATGCTTCACTCAACAGCTGTGCACGCACACCAGACTGTGTCACCAGGAGAACAGGGTCTACACTTTGCTCAAGGCCTGGCACAAAATAAGCACTCAAGGAAGACACAGAGAATGCCAGGCTGGGGCACGCTCTGCTTTCCCTCCGGGGTCAGGAAGCACTTCTCTGCTTTACCCCAACGCTCAGCAGTCAGGACAATGCCAAGCTGCTCTGCCCGCTGCAGCACCAGCCGATCAGTGAGCAGAGTTGCTGCTGCCGCATCACTGACTTGGTCCCAGAGGCCTGCCTGACCTTGGGTCACCTTCCTTTCTGCCTGGCTAAGCACGGAGCCATGAGCTGGTTTTGCTGCCTTTCAAGCCCGGAGCAGTAGATTGAGCACAAAGGAAGACTGGGTGGTTGTTTTGTCCGTGGGAAATCAATGTCCCTTAAATATAAATTGAACTGGTAGTCTGTACTGCACTGTGACAGGGCTGTACAGGAATGTGGCAGAGGGCGTCCAGAGTCAATGCCCAGGTCTCTCACCTTTGAAATAATGTATTTTCCTACAAACACTGGCTGCAGGAGAGAGAAGGTGGTAAGTCAGGAGGCTGGGGAGAGTCCCAGCAGAACCTCTAGCTGCCCATGTGGCCCTGGGCAAGTCAATCATGATGTCACTTAATGTGTATGCTTTCTGGGCAATCTTTCCTCACCTGAAAAACATGGAGACCACCTCAGTTACCCTCAAGGCCACTGAAAGTGGCTTAGTACTGCTGCAGGTGGCAGGGCTGGGGAGAGGCACCCACAAACAGAGGCTGTGCCTAGACCCAGGACAGCCTCCCAGAGCATCTGACCCTAGAACAGGGCCTAGCACCACCCTGCAGTGGCATCTTGGTCTGGAGTCCTCATGTTCAAGCCCTGGTGACAGTAGCTGGGGAGCTAAGGCAGGATTTGGGGCTCCACAGACCTAGGTGCAGTGCCTCCGCTGGGAATCTGACTGTGAGCAAGTTTCCAAGTCACCCTGACCTTCAGTCTCCTCCCCTGCATCATGGGAGCCTCCTCACCTGAGGGGTCTTGTGATGACGATAGGAGATCATGCAGGGAAAGGGCTTAGCATAGTGCCTGGCACACGATGACAGTGTGGTCAGTCTTAACTATTATAAAAGTAAATATTTATGGCTTAGATCCATACATCACAAACACCTCAAAAAAACGGAGATTGTGCTGGATGCAGTGGCACACACCTATAATGCCAGCCACTCAGGAGACTGATGCAGGAGGATCGGGAGTTCAAAGCTAGTCTCAGCCACTTAGCAAGGCCCTAAGCAACTTAGTAAAACCCTATCTCAAAATTTAAAAAAATAAAAGAGCTGGGGATGTAGCTCAGTGGTAAAGCACCAAAGGAAGAAATGGAGATTGTAGAGACCTCAGATATATTTTCTAAACCTCTCCTGGCAGAGATGAGGAAACCAAGATCCTGAAGGGAGCAGGGACGTGTCCTAAGATCCACAGGCAGAAAGTACAGCCATAAGCCCAGTGTCCTAACTCCAACATGGGATGGACCAGGATGCTTCATCCCCAGGTCCTATGAGGACCCTGGCTGGCGCAAATTTCAATCCCAACATCCTTGTCTGTGGGGATCCTGGTATCCCACCAACCAAGGCTCTGGCCCTATCCACGCCCACCTCCTGCCCAGACAGCCCCCAGAGAGGGCTTTGTCCTCAGCAGGCCCTTGGTAGAGCCCCAAGCATGACTTGACCCAGGCCACTTCCCTATTCTGGGTCTGTTTCCTTAAATGAGACAAATGGCCTTTGAGATCCTTCCAGGTCCGTGTTTTCTGTCTCTCAGGTTGCCCTGCAGCTCTGCCTGAAGAATGAGGTGATCAGGTAGGGGGTCCCCTCCCTGCTGTGCTCACATGTGGGACTGCAGTATGTGTGTAATCCTCCTCCACCTTCGGAAACAGGGATGGTGCCTTTGTCACCACCCCCTACCCCCCACCCCTAGTCTGCCCAAGGTCAATCAAAGACCAGAACAGGTTCTTCTCCAGAAATGTCTGAGGGAGGGAGGGAAAAAAGGAAGAAGGGAAGAGGAAAGAGAGGACAGAAGGGAAGGAGAGGGCAAGAGAGGGAAAGGAGGAGATGGATGGGCAGGCTGAAGCCTCCCAGCACTAACATCTTTGCTTCTACACAGCTATGCTCTAAGGCAATTCCCCAGCAGAGTCTGTTAGGCACAATCACATTCATGGTGGAACCCCCTGGGGGGAGGAGAAAGCAGAGGGAAGGATTTCCGATGTGAAATGACAAGGGACCCCTCTCAGGCTAGGCACAGCTGATTCTCAGAAGCCCAGGCCCCATGAGTCCCTGTGGTGAAGACATCAGGCCCACACTGCAGGGGGGTCCCCGCCTTCCTGGCAGAAACCTCAGGGATGCTGGTGTCTGAGGCCCCACCTTGCTTGCTTCCAGTCACTAAGCTCATGTGACAAGGCAGCATTTTCCAGCTGATTGTCCCCATTCAGGAACACAGTATAGCAGGATTCTGCAGTATTCAGGAACATCAAGAGGAACGCATCTTTATAAATAACTCCTGGATAAAATGGAGCTGAAAATAGGGAGACAGAAGAGGAAGCAAATTGCTAAGCACTTATTGAGTCGATAGCATTGGCTTGGAAACCTTAGTGCAAATGGCTGGCCAGTTTTATTTCCTTCTCATCAAGAGGTCAAATGCAGGATGGAACCTAGGGGCACCAAGACTGTGTGTGTCCCAGGGTGTGTTTGAAAAGGTGTGGCTGTCTTTGGCCACCGGCTCTCAGGGAAGATAGTAACCCAGGTCTCCACTAGGTGCAGCTGGGGTGCTCACCCCAAGAGCTCTGAACGGCTCTTTCTTCACTGGAAGATCTGGCCACTGGTTGGCCTCTAAGCTCTGAGATGATAATCCATGGCTAGTCCTTGGTATAAAAGTCAAGAATCCAAAGGCCTGAATGAAATCTTGACTGTGCTCAGATGTCCTATTTCCTCCCTCTGGTCCTTAGGGTCATCCTTCAGCCACAAGACCACTTCAGTCTGTGCTCTCTCACAAGCTAAAATTGAGGGGAAATGTGTTTCATTCACTTGCAATCCCGAGGCCCCTGATTTGGGGCTGTGCCCAGCAGAAAGCACCCTGCAGAGCACCCCAGCCCTGACTTCCAGCCCCAGGACCCAAGCACAAAGCTGAATTACTTGAGAGAGCAACAGCCTGCTCACCAGGTCCCTGCACTGCCAGGCCAAGCGCCCCCAGTCCCGCCAGAAGAGAGAGGAGGAGAGGTGGTTCGGTTGTGGGCGGGCAGCCGGCGTGGCCGCATCAGCAGCAGCCGCAGGTGCCCGTGTGCACGCGGAGGATGCCGCGGCTGTGCAGGTGCAGGAAGTTGAAGATCTCGGAGGGCATGGCGTGGAAGCCGGGGCGCGGCTTGACGTTGTCGTAGTAGTGGTGGGTGATGTAGAGGCCAGAGGGGTTCATGGGGAAGGCCCAGAAGCCGAACAGGTGCACCTCCTCGCACAGCTCCAGCGCCGCGGTGGCCAGAATCAGGCCGGTGCTGATGCGCTTGGCGCGCACCCCCAGGCTGAGCCAATAGCGCGACACGTTGACCAGGTACTGCGGGTGGAAGTAGTAGACGGCCTGCGGCGACTCGAAGTCGTCCAGCACGTACTTGACTCGGATGGACACGTCGGTGTTGCGCGTGTTGTAGAAGGCGGGCAGCAGCACCGACGCGTTCTCGTACACCTGCAGCACGCGGTAGAAGGGCCGCCGCCACTTCTCCAGCTTGTGGAACCTGCGAGGGGACCCAGAGTGAGAGGAGTCCTGTCGCCTGCTCCTCCGGATCCCTAACCCCACCCCTGCCCCTCAGCGCCCCTTGCTTCCTGTCTCCTGCCTCCTGGGAGCTTTGCAAAGGGAGGGGGCGGGAACTCACAAGGCCACGCCCCTCCCTTCTCCTCCCGCGCTGCTACAGAGAAAGGTGTGCCCTTTAAGTGGTGCAGGAGAGATCAGTCCAGACCAAAGGGGTGAATATCTAGTGTGTGGTTGCGGGGCCAAGGGAGAGGCCATGCTTAACCCAAAAAGATGCACTTGGCACGGGGGCGTGCAGGCTGTCCAGAGTCCTCACATCCTCCCCAGCACTGTCCTCCCCAAGGATGGGCCCTGACCTGGCTCAGCACCCTCCTCAGCCTCTTACCCCATCTATCTTGCACACTTTTTTAACCTTAAACAACCCACCCTCTGTGGCCTCTCACCCCGTCCTGCCTCTTCCTCCGCACCATCTTTGCTACCTTTCTTGGCACCTGATACAATTCATCAACAACTCCTCCTCCTCCTCCTCCTCCTCCATCTTCAACTGTGACATGGATGGTGGGACTATGCCTGGCCTTGGGGATCTCAACAAATTGGCCCCTCCCCTGACACCTCCCAGGCACGCCCCCAGGGGGCAGCTGAGTAGGGAGCTGAGATCTGTGGCCCTGGCTTCCCCAGTGCCGCCTGGACCCAGCCAGGTAGGGCGCTGCCAGCCCTGGCCACAGCCTGGAAGGCTCCTCACAGCCTTAGGCGACAGCAGGCTGACCAGCCCACACTGTCCAAAGGAAATCCAATGCTGGCCTCACGTGCAATATTAAATATTCTAGTAAACACAACTTGAAAAGAAAGAAATAATTATCATTTCAAGATGGAATTAATATTTAATATTTTTTAAATGAGATAAATTACACCCTTTTGTTCTCATTAAGTCTTTGAAACCCATTTCAAAGATTTATATTTGTATATTTCATGGGAACAGCCTGCACACCTCAGTCTGGACCAGCCACATTCCCAGTGCCCAGTGGCCCCAGGGACTGTTGGCTATAGAAGAAAAAGGGCCACTGACCTTTCCGTGATGATGCTGGGGTTCACCGTGACGACATCTGTCTTCACCCCCACATCCACGGTATACTTCTCTGAGATGGGGGGTAAATTGCACCTGCAGAAGACACAAGGCAGCCCAGGCAGGGGGTCAGTCACTGTACAGATGACACTGGGAGGGGGCAAGGGTAAGGAAGGGATCACATGGACACAGGGATGCAGAGGTGGACCGCTGGGCCAGACCTCTGGGGCCAGGTAATAAGACAGCAGCCCTCTTGCTCCGTGTCCAGCATCAGAGCAAGCAAACAGGCCCAGTCACTGGTTTTGCTGAAGTTCCAGACCCAGCAGGCAAAGAAACCACCAGAGGAATTGTATAGTTACAAGCTCTGTATAGAACAACCCTGGATAACAGGACCAGGACTATCACTATGACCTCAGGAGGACAGGGTCATGGCTCTAAGTGGACGATGGCTGGGGTGCACCCCCTTGCATAGGGGTAGACTTCTCTGAGGAAGCGACACTTACTCTGAGGTCAGAAGGAGGAAGCAGCAGAAGCCCACCAGTGGAAGACTGGTTAAAGGTGGGAATGGTCAAAGGTGAGTCTTGGAAATGCAGTACTGAGTGACAGAGCAAGTTGCAGAGTATGCACCGGAGCAAACTCTGTGCAAAGCCCCTGCCATAGAGTCACGGCCACCAAAGATGCCCTTAAACATCCTAATACCTGGAACCTATGAATAGGTTCTGCTCACAGGTTCTGCAGCTGCAACTATTAAGGAGCTTGAGAGAGGGGATCATCCTTGATGAAGCCAAGGTCATCACAGGGTCATACAGGAGAAAGTGATGTCACAACAAAGGAAGAGAAGAAAACATGTTTCTGCAGATCCAGAGAAAGAGACGGGAGGATGCTACGCTGCTGGCATTGAGCCAAGGAAGGCAGGAGCTGGAAAGGGCAACCTGTCCTCCCTTACAGCCCCCAGAAAGGGACGCAGTTCTGCCAGTGCCTTGACTGCAGCCCACTGAGAACTCTGACCACTGGAGCAGTAAGATGACAAACTTGTGCTGTTTCAAGCCACTACTTGTGGAGACTTGTTCCAGCAGTAATAGGAAACTGACCCCAAACAGTGAAAGTTAACAAAGTATTCAGAGATAAATCCACATGGAATGAAACCACTTTTAACAATCAAGGAATGATAAGTACAAAATTCAGGGTGGCGATTACCTCTGGGGTAAAAGAGTAGAATGGGGAAGTTGATAGACTGCCTTGTTGCAAATCTTCAACTTTTAAATTAAGTGGTTGGTTTAAGATATTCATTTTATTATTTTCTACGTACTTAGAGATGTGGTACAATTTTGTTTTTTGTTTTTGCATCAAATAGTACATGATGAATGAATAAATACACTGAAAAGGAGTGGGTGTTAACTGGGTAAATTCGAAGGTCATGGGCATTTTCAGACAGAGGTCTTGTGGAAAGGTCCTGTAGTAGAAGAAAGCAGGAGGCATCTGGGAATGATTGAAGCCTAGTAACTACAGCAGAGTGAGGGTGGTGGAAGCAGAGGGCAGAGAGGGAAAAGGGGGCTGGACTACAAAGGACTGAGAGCCATGCAAAGGAGTGTCTGCTCTTTATCCAGGAGAAGTCATGGATAAAGGAACAACTGAATAGAGCAACCCTGGATAACAGGACTAGGACTATCACCTGTCTTATACCCAACTATACCTCTCCTATCAGACCACTGTGGAAGGCAGGTTTTACATTCCGCTTACAGACAGGGGATGTGCAGTCAGCTATCATGTATTGAGCACCTACAACATGCCAGCAGCTATCTCAGGATTATTCGAGACATGGATAACCTTAAGGGGCAGATATTAGGTCCCCTGTGTTGTGAATGAGAAGCAAGACATTTGGAGAAGTCCAGAGACCTGAAGCTGTGAAGTGGTTGAGTCATGGCTGGGGACACATCTGTCTGACCTTGAGCCTAAGGCGCTTTCCCAAAACTGGATGTCCTATCCAGTAGGGACATCGCTGGACACAAAAGGGATTGGCAAATCTTGGATATGCATGGCAGGCACTCAGCAAGGCTTTGCCACTAATGTCCCACTAGGACAAAGACAGTGATGACAATGAGAGGACCCCGTGACTCCAAAACCAACACAAACAACTGTGCGTTACACCTGGCTCAGGTGGTAGGACGAGAGCACGCCCCAGGGAAATGCTTCATGGCCCCTGGGGAGCTGAGGAGAGGCCATGGTACTGCACGAAGATGCAGGACAAGAGCCACATCCCTAGTCTGACCGTGACCAGCCATGTGGTCTGGGCCTGGAATGTCACCCACCCCCCACAGTTGCTTTCATCTGTAAAATGAGAGAATATCAAAAGGGAAATTTGTATTATAGCAAAGCTTAGTGTGTGTCCCACATTGCTGGAAGACCTTGCCCGTATTAACTCATTCAATCTTCACCCAGGGGTGGCCCTCATCCTGCATTTCAGGAAGGGGAGATGGAATGGTCAGTTAAGTCGCTTGCCTAAGGTGACACAGTCCCTAGTTCACACGCAGGCTTCCAGGCCTCAAACTCATGACTTAACCAGTCTACCAACATTCAGCATCCTGGGGATCCTGTGACCCCGTCCTTCTCACTCCTGCACCCCCTTCACCCCACGCTCATTTTCTGAGTCATTACAATGTTCCAGCCACGGTCAGGAAATTCTCTGTGTTTCCAGTTTCCACGAGTGAAACCACTCGGCTGATCATGACTACAGGGCTGGGTGTCTAATGCCACATGAGATGTAACGCCAGGTCCCATGAAGAGTACAAGTAGGGACAGCGAGGGAAGGAGTGGAGATCCCTGAACTAAGCTTGAAGGACAAGGGGACAGCATAGCCAGAGGTCAGGGCCAGAGTGGGCAACGTTCCAGGTGGAGGGGACAAGACCTTGAAAGAGCAGTAGCTGACATTTCTTAGGCACTGATGGAGTGTCCAGGGCAGTAGGCGTAAAAGCAGAAGCAGCCTATGTCACTTAATTCCCCAGCTCTGGGAAGCTGCTGTCATTAACCCCCACTTTGCAGATGAGGAACCATAGCCCAGAGGAGTGAGATGACTTTCTAAGGCCAAGCACCTGGACAGAAGCTCAGATAGACCCCAAAGACCCGGGAGGGCCTTCCTGGCCTCCATTAGCAAGCCAGTAGCCGGGCTTGGGATTCGGGGAAGACTGCCATGTTGGAGGACTCTGAACCTTCTTTAGGGCTTCTCGATGTCCTCAGGGAGTGTGGGCTGACTCAGGGCAGCAGGAGGAGGTGTCTCTCACACATGTCACCCACCCACCCACGTTAGTGATGCTACTTCCAAGCCTGACGCAGGGTGTCCTTGGCTTCCTTCTCCTAGGGACAGAAGGCTGGGGTTGCACTGCAAGGAACTCAAAATTTGCAAAGCTGCCTTTATTTCAGGATTTCCAGCCACACCAAACCTCCCCTGCCTCCCTCCCTGCCACCAACTCTGAGTGGCCCCCTGATTGCGGATCCATAACCCCTGAGATCCCCCTGCAGACAACCTGTGGGTCTTTGCTTGAAGCTCTTATTTTGAACCCATTGCTACCCAGGCTAAAGAGGAAAGCCAGGCTCCCCAAAGATATAGGAGTATTCTGCATAAGGGAGAGGAGACACAAGGACCAGTGTCCAGCTTAAAGCCAGGGTGAAGCCACAAGGCTGCCCAGCTTCCAACCAGTACTCAGGGAAGTGTAGAACCGGCAGGGAGGTGGGTGCCCATCAGTCTGGCCCACAAGTCCTCAGGGCCTCACAGCCTGATCTTTGCTCTTTACATGCTTCCCATTTTGCAGATGGAAAAATGGAGAACCTGGGAGTCCAACAACTTACCCCAAGGGATGGGCTGGAGAGAGGAAGCAGGATAGCTCAGAGCATAAGGGTGTGCAGGGTTGGGGAATGGGGGGCTAATTGTTTGAAGGACAACGTCAGAGCATGAGGCAGAGCTGGAGTTTGTGGGGTGTCACGGAGGAGGAGGGTGGTGGGGCCCACAGCAGGTACAGACCCAGGGGGTTCTCTTACCGGAAGACAAAGTCAGCGCTGTTGATCTCCCTCCCGCAGCGGCTGTTCTTGAGGATGCCTCCGTTGCCCACCACCGCACACTTCTTAAACTGGGACCGGTAGTAGGGCATATCCTGGGGGAGGCAAAGGCACAGCGGTCAGAATCAAGGTCACCCCTGCCCTCATCTGGGGTGCTCACCTCTGCAACCACGTCTACCTCTAGGGTCTCTTAGCCCCATGAGCGAGCCTTACTGGGAATGTGGGAGGAAAGTGGGTCTCTGCTTTGCCCATGAGAAACGCGGTCGACCTGTTACTGCTAGGCCCTCCCACCTCTGACCCCCGGGAGTCTGCAGGCAGCTTCTTCCTAGCCCATCTGTGAAGAAGCTTATCCTGGAGCATGACAGTGCTACAGCGGCATCAGGAATTAGGCTAACTCTAGAGACCTGCAGCGTCTGCGGGGAGACTTGGTATTCGCAGCCCATTTCCCTGGAGGGACAGACCCGAGGGGGCCAGGGCAGGAAAAGCACAGGTGTCTCAAGGACAGTGAAAGCACTCTTTACCTTTTACACAGGAAGGAAAAAACCAAGGTTATCTTTGGAAAAATCATAAAAGCCTTATTATGTTTTATATGGATGTTTTCCAAACTTCTATAAATCAAGAACTACCTGAGAATATCCATTTCTAGGCTTCATCTAAGAATCATGGAATCAGAATGTCCAGGGCAGGGACAGGAGGCTGGGAAGCTGAGATTTTTTACAAACCCCAATAAATACTTACCTTCAGGGAAGTGCCCTTCTATGTCACCTGAATTAGAATTCAGGGACCGGAAAATTATGGCTCCTGAGCCACATCTGGCTCAGCTCCTGGTTTTGTATATCTTGCAAGCTATGAACAGATTTTATATTTGCTAGAGATGGAACCCAGAGCCTGTACCCACTAGCCAAGACCCTACCCTGAGCCACGCCACCAGCCCTTAGATTTTTAAATGGCTGGAAACAAATCAAAGACATGTGAAAATTATACACAATTCAGATTTCTGTGCTATTGGGACACAGCTGCCATCCTTTGTCATTCATAGCTGCGTTAGTGCTTGGATGTGGGATGTGACGGAGATGATATGCCCTTCAAAGCCCCAAACATTGGCTATCTGGCTCTTTCAGAAAATGTTCGGTGACCTCTGCTCTTTCCCTGGGCCTCTGCAGTCACACCACTGGCTGTTCCAGTTCCCCAGGTCCCTGCCTGGCTGTGTTTCACTCTCTGGTCACCTCACCAGCCTCATGTTCCAGGGCTAAGACCCACCTTGCAAAGGTAGCTCTCACCACCATCCTCTCCGGCACTGAGATGAAACCACTCAGTAGAAGAAACCACTGGCCTCTAGCTGCTGCCCCATCTGACATGGGCTAAGTTTCAGAACCTGAATCTTACTGGCGCCTCTGGTAGGACTGCAGGGAGACTGGTCTTGGTGGCACTCACACCCCCCAGGCCCTCAAGCTTCATCCAGACAGACTTGCACACACCTCCATTCAGCATTACTTCTCTTTTTTTTGGGGGGGGGGTACTAGAGATTGAACCCAGGGGTGCTTTACCACTGAGCTACATTCTGGGTATTTTTTTATTATTATTATTTTGAGACAGAGTCTTGCTAAGTTGCTGAGGCTGGCCTCAAACTTAGGATCCTTCTGCCTTAGCCTCCCCTAGTCCCTGAGATCACAGGTGTGTGTCCCCCACACCTGGCTCCACTCAACATTTCCACAATTGGTCCAAAGTGTGGTAGTGCGCATGCCCCGTGTGACCTGCCTCTCTTCGGAGGCCAAACCCCATTCACATCTGATGACAAGTATAGCATCTCCTTCCGTGAGAGTCTGGAGCCGGGGACGGTGCCTATGGTCAGCCCAAGAGAACCTCAGTGATCTGAACAGGTCACATGTGTATATCCTTCACTCTGTGACCACCATGCCAGGCTGATCCACCCATTCCACCCACTCCAGACTTCCTTATGTGAAAGGAAGGAAAGAAAGGTTTAAGGATATTGTGGATGTTCTTTAATGAGCAACTGAATCTACGCCTACTCCAAGCCCCTGTTAGACACAGAGACTGAGGTTGTGAAAGACTGACCCCAGGGTCATCTGACATGGGCTAAGTTTCAGAGCCTGGTTTGCCCTGGATGGTGCCTTCTGGGGCTCATAGCCTTCATGTGTCTCTTTCACTCCTGTGTCTACCTCTGGAGTGGAGGCACATGAGATGCCTGTCCCAGATGTCTGTCCTCAGCAAGCAATGCAATAACTAGGATTTTCACTACTTTCTTGCCAAAGTCACATGGGTGATAGCCAGTTGGCATTCAAAGTGTCCAGACAGAACCCCAAAGGAAGCCAGCAGACAGGCTACAGGGCCCAGGCAACTGGTCAACCAGGACAAGCCACTTGGATGCAGAGGACAGAGCATGAGTCACACAAAATCACCAGATATGGACACAGAGGGCATCAGCTATACGGGCTCCCTCACCCCACGCAGAGCACCCCGCACAGAGCACCTTGGGAAACATGCGGAAGATCTCCTGGTTGATGTGGTAGATGCCGCTGGTGTCCACCTCGTACTTGAGCTTCGTGCCCAGTGGCGTGTTCTTCTGGGTGGTGAAGAGGAAGGCTGGGGCATTGCAGCACCTGGACAGAGTGGACCTGCCGGATGGGAGGACAGGAGAGTGACACTAGGCAGAGCACAGCCTACCGAGGACACAGGGGTCACTCTGCTGAGCCTCCCCGGCCCTGATTCCCACGCTTGCTCCTGCCCACACCTCCACTGGGGCTCCCTCCCCCTCCAGCAGTGACACCTCTCCAGGCACTGTCCTTTCAGCCAGACCAGGTCTCCCACTATGAAGCCTCCTGCTGCCCCTGTCCCCACAAATGCACTGTCCCAAAGGCTGGCGCACAGACTGGGAGCCATAAACCTCATCTACCATGTCCCTCTCGGGCTTGGGTGACAGCCACTGACAGCAGGGGCTCCCCCCTCCCAATCCTGCCTGGGGCTAGTCACACCCTTAGCTGTTCCCCACTGGAGCCTCCATCCAGACCTGCTGCCCAGAGCCAGGCCACTCCTGCCGCATTTGTGCAGCCTGAACTGAAACCCCCGGGGAGCCTGAGCTCCTCTCAGGGCCTCAGCCCCCATGGCAGACTAGAATAGGCGTCCACCTTGTCTGAAGTCTCCCCAAAACCAAGATCCTGATGGCCAACAGAATTGTGTGCTATCGACCACTCAGAAACTGAGTCAGGAAAAAGGGAGGGTCAGAAACTGGGGTGGTGGGTGATGCTGCTGGTTCCAACAGAAATGTCAGGGTTTTTATAAAAGGAGTCCTGATGAGAGCCACAGGACTCAAGCTCAGGTACCAGCTTTATCAGGAACAAGCTGCAGGTAGGACGGGCTGGGGGGGGGGGCAGGCCCGGGCACCAGCCAGGCCAGGGGAGCCTGGTTCCCCTCCACTCTGCACCAGGTGTTCCACCCAGCAATGCATTCTGGGGGCACCAGGAGACTCCACACGCTGCCTCAGTGGGTCAGATCCTGGGCACACCTTGCCACCCTGCCCTGGGGACGTGAAGCTCTGAACACAGAGGGTGTTGGACTTGAATAAGGGCACAAACCATTGCCCCCTCAAGTCAGGGACCTGGGCCCATGAGGCCCACTCCCTCCCAAAAGCAGCAGCAGCAGCAGCAGGTTGAGCACATGCTGGCTGCCTCCAGGGACACCAGCATCCAGGCAGCCCTGGAGATGGACACCTTCCCCCATAGAGCCCTGCAATGACCACTAATGAGGAACCAGGAGGAGATTTCTGAAAGCCCAAGTTCTGGGATGGAAACTTGGGTCACCATCCTGGTGACACGGGGCCTGGATTCTAGTGTCTGTTCTCCCACTGCTGGCTGTGGGGCTCCAGGCAGGTCACTTTCCCCGCCCTGAGCCTGTTTCCTCATAGGCGACATGCAGAATTGGCTCTTCCACTCTGACCCCTGTGATTCTGTGACTCCAGCTTGCCAAAGCTGGGAAAGTTATGGGATATTTTTTTTTTTAATGATTATGTCTCTTGCAGGGACTTCACTGAGAGCCCAGCTGGCTGCTAGTCACAGACAGTGGTCTTTCCTATGGAGAGGTGGGGTTCAGAAAGTTACCAAGGCTTCCAGAGGGGAGGCTAGAAGCCTGGCAGGGCATGTCACAGGTCAGCACTACAAACCAGCATCTGTCCCTAAGCTTCGCTGGTGCAGAACTCCATGTTGAATACCCTCATTGGGGAAATCGACTCATACTAATCAAACTTACAAGCAACAGACATAGGAACCAAAATGCCAGTGTCTATTTGTAGGCCTCAGGAGAGGAGCAGGACTCAGTTACAGGGCTCCTTCCTGCAGCTCAGGCCTCCCTCCCGTCCTGCACCGGGTTCCTACAACCTGCATGAAGAATCTCATCATGACACCTCCTTTTCCACATCCCTCCTCCCTGGAAGGTCTCAGCTGTCCTGGGTAGTGCTCTGTGATCCCTGCCATGGGTTCCCACGCAACCCCTGTGTTTCCCTTGTCATTTTCCAGTTGCTTCACTATTTCCTTAGGCTTGTGAATCCCACTGATGAGCCTCTCGGCCTAGACAACGGTCGTCTCGCTGACTGCCCCTGTGCTGTGCTCTACGGCCACCCTGCGCGGGCCCAGGCCTTTCTCACTCCAGGGGCATCGATCTGGGCAGCACACAGTGACCCTCTGAGGGGCAGACTACAGCACAGCCCTGGCACCGTACCACTCCTCCAGCACAGTGCTGAGGTTCACAGTCGGCTTTGAGGGAAGGTGAACCTCTGCAAACTACTTTGGGCCTGAGCAGGGTTTCTGCCATCTCACAAAGGCCGCTAGCACTGCTCTTCAGACATTCCCATTTCTGAAAATGTGCTACTTAAAACGACTGTTCTACCTCTAGACTTGGCCTGGAATGGCCACAAACTGGAATAAATGATTTATAAAGAGAATACAGAATTCTCGGTCACATTCCCTCTTCCCAAGCTCTGGGATAGGATTCCTTCATGCTGAAGCTCCCTGCACATTTCAACTTGCACCTGATGTGGAAATCTAGCTTACATCCGGGTTACCGGGTTACCTGCACCACCACAATACCATACACTCGTGGAACCTGAGCACTTGCACTAATGAAAAGAATTTTTGGATGTCTTCCATCTGCTTGCCACCCACAGCAGGACGTTAAGACAGCTCCTGTCTCTCTGGGAGTTTGTAATCTGTTCATTGTGGTTGGAGAGCAATTAGGAGATAATCTACAGCCAGGCTCAGGCGTCTGGCATGGCTGTCAGAACGCAGGCTCTGAGAAGAGGGGAGGCTGTTGTGTCAGAGGCACTGTCCCAGAGAGGGAGGCCAGGTTGGTGAGGCTGCAGAGGCCTGGGGAGGCCTCAAGCAAGGATAGCCCCCCTACTAGGCACCTCAGTTCACCCCCACTGTGTTCTGCATGTGACAGCAGTGACCTTGCAGAATTGCTACAAGGACTGCGGGAGAGAGATGGGGACAGCAGCTGTTTGGCTGCCCGCCTTGCCCTCTGTGGCCTGGGAACCTTGCCACTGCCCACACTCCCAAGCCAGTCAGGGCCGGCTCCAGGGTAGATGGCCTCCCAGAGCTGGGCCTTGCAGGTCAGAGGGACTCTGAAGAGACGGCAGTGAGAGGGACAGTGTGGCCACACCAGGAGAGGGGGGACGACGGACGGTAGGTACTTGAACTGGTTGGCTTCGGAGATGTTCATGGCCCACTTGCACATCTGGAGGCTCTTCCACCTGTCGAACAGCTCCGACTGCTTCACCCTTTGGGAGGGGAGGACAGAGAGCAGGTAAGAGGGCCAGGCCGGACCAAGTGTCTTCTTTCCAAAAATGCCCCCTTCCTGTTCCCCTGTGCAAAATCCTGGACTGGTGCTTTGAAAATAAGTATATATATGTATTTTTTATTTTCTGTGTTCTTGAGGCTCAGGCGTCTGGAGCCTTGCTAATTCCTGAAGACAGCAGCCAAGTCCCAGCCACGTGCCTTCCATGTGTAAACTGAGCAGCGCAGTCACCTCCTATTCAGAGAGCTGCTGTCCCCTGCCATAATCCCTTCAGGGCTAGCTATCAGTCAACCAGTGGCAATCCTTAAGCCTCAGAGCCTGCCACAGTGATCCAACCTAGCCAGTCCCAAAGCTGTCAGCATCACCGCCCCCGCCCTGCCCATCTACCCACAAAAAACCCCACTAACATTCTTGACGGACTCTCCCTGCACTTGCCTTCTGAATGGCTTTGGGGCTTCCCCACGGGGCCCTGTGATGGTCATTCTGGGTCTGCATGTCTTTCCACACCTGATTCCAACAAGCCATTATTCCTTGTCCCTCAGGTCTGCACAACGCTCTCAGGAAATGTTGGTTGGTTTTTTTTGTTGTTGTTATTGTTGTTTTGGTACTGGGAATTGAACCCAGGAGTACTTTTCCCATTGAGCTCCATCCCCAGCCTTTGTGATTATTCATTTTGAGAGAGGGTCTTTCTAAGTTGCTGAGACTGGCCTTGAATTTACAATTCTCCTGCCTCAGCCTCTGGAGTTGCTGGGATTACAGTCATGTGCCACCACACCCAACTCAGGGCTATGAAGGGGTGACATCAGTTCTCTAGCAGGGCTCCCGTCAAGCCTCACACTGTGCACAGCCCACAGGAGACTCAGGACCGTGGCACACCCTTCTCATCCTCCTGTCCCAGGTCAGATCACAACTGCCCAGTGACATACAAAAGAGGTGAGAAACTGGGGGTGTGCCCCCTTTCTCTGAAAGACCTTCTGCCAGGCGTTATGCTTACTGATTTTTAAATATCTGAGCATTGTTCTCAGGCACTCACAGAAAAGGGAGCATTTCAGTCATGTGTGATTTTCCCTTTGAAACTCACAAAAGAATTATTACTTAAATTATCAATTTACATTTGCATATTTGTAATTATGCGTTGAGTTTCAGTACTGTATTCTCCAGCTTCCACAGGCATGCCTAGCAAAATATAGACACTTGATAAAGATTGCTGAGTGAATGAATAAATCAAAGATACAAATTCCTACAAACACCAAGTGATCACTGAGACCCTTATATACATTGACCCCAATGGCCACCATCTCCCGTCTACTTTTCAGAGAGTGCCTAACCTTGAAGGCCACATGCCATGTCTCACACCCTTTCCCTAATATACGTGCTCAGTGTCTTTGTCAACTTCCCTGTCCTTGGTTACGTATCCCCATTGCACTCAAGAAGTTGTTCCTTGGATCCTGTGTCACCACAGAAAAATCATTTCTGAGCCTCAGTCTCCTCATAGTAAAATGGGGCTACCATAACCCTGGGCTGCCTACTAAGAGATTGTTTTTACTATTACCACTCGGTTGGTACTTTTATGCATTTTCTTATGCTGTTAGCTCTTTGGGGGGTGGAGGAAAAAGTGAGGAGCAAAGGAGAAAGAGAAAAATCTGTATGATGACATTTGTGTTTTCCCAAGGGTGATCCATGGACTGCTACTTTAATGTAGTATCACAAGGTATATTAGCTGAACTACATGAAAGTGCTACAAAGATGGCATTTGCACATGTTTAACCAATTTTTTTAAAGAGGGGGAACCTATGGTCAAATATATTGGGAACATTGAGTATTTAAATAAAGTTCAACGCTTTACTGCAAGACTTCTCAGACCCTTTAATAAAGGAATCTCATGCGTATCATCTCCTGGAGTTACTGGATCATGGGATCCTTTTATTATTGAGCTGTTTCTAAGAATGGAATTCTACAGAAACACTGGAAATGCAAGGCAGGCCCTACACTCATTAAAAGCAATACCAAGACTTCTCTCTCTCTTGATTGTACACCATCCCCAACCAAAGGCTAGGTGTGGGGTACGTCCAGGGTCACCTAGTTCGGGGCTTTTGGAAGCTGGCTGGACTTGGGCCCTCGTGCAGAAGGAGCCCCTTAAAGGAAGCCATTCTGGTTTGATCACAAATGAGGAAGTGATCAGGAGCCGAAAGCTCCCAAGAAAACCCTACAACTCTAGTTCTTACCCCCACGGTCTCCTGAAGGACTTGAGGGAGTCCACAGGCTCTCTAGGTTATAGGCAAAGCCCATGTCCATCCACCTGGGGCATATTCTAGGGAGAATTCAGCCTCCATCAGCTTCCCGAAGGGATCATGAGTCCCAAAAAGGCAGATACCCACTTAACTATAATTTAAAACACACACACACACACACACTCACACACACACACACACACACACACACACACACGAAACCCAGACAAGGTTCATTCTGCAGGTGTGTCCTTGAGTTTACTTGGAAGGGGTGACAGTTGTTCCCAGTCAGGTCAAGCCTCACCAAAGGGAGGATGCATGGCTGGTAGGGGAGGGGTGGTCGCAGGAAAAGTCACAGAGGATGGTGACTACATGGGTTTGGAACCACAGGGACGCAGTTGAGACACCTCCTAACTATTGGAGGTCTGGCAGGTTATTTAACTTCTCTGAGCTCAGTTTTCTCATCTATAAAATGAGCATAATAATAGTCTCTTGCCCTCATGGGTTTTTAAATGACTAAATAAGATGACACAATAAAGGATGAGGCCCAGTGCCGGACACAGCAAGCACCAGGGGGTGTAAGTTATTACTGCTGTTCAACTGAACTGCCTTGACCCTCTGTACTTTGCATTTTTGCAAAATCCACAACCTGTCCTTACTCACTCCTGATTGTTCCCATGACAGCAAATAACCAAGAATACAGGGCTCATGCCTCACTCGGTTCACCACTGTCACTCCAGTGCCAAAGCACAGAGCAGGTAGGTGCCTGGAGATTATTTATTGAGTATTTCAACAAATGAATGAATGGATCCATAAGACTCAGTCCAAACCAAGTTCCCTAACTATTTATTGGACAACTCTAGGTGACACAAACTAGAAATACAGTCATGATCAAAACAACTCCCTGCTTGCAGGAATTCTACAGACCAGGATGGAGGCCAAGGGGAAACAAATTTATAAGGGCTCACCTGGAAGCGGTAAGCGCTGTGCAGTAGGGTGAAGACAGAAGGAAGTGGCTGTTTCAGTGAGTTGATCGGGAGGCTTTCCCCCTGCACAGAGACTGAAATGATACAGGGAATATCTGGGGAGAGTGTACCCCCGGCAGAGAAGAGGGAGTGCAAGGCTCTGGCCGGAACCCTCTTGGCATTCAGCCCTGGAAGGCGCCCCTCACATCCAGATGGAATGCAGGAGAGCTTCCTTCCGGCTTCCCAACTCCTGCAACAGCTCTCCCCACTCAGAAGCTCCCAAGAGAAGAGGTGCCACTACTCTGCAGCACCATGGCTCCCCCACGGCTCCCCTTCCAACCCACAGGCCCCTGGAGCAGCACCTTGCACGGCCACTGCTTCCATCACCTGGTGGAAACGGCCCTGCCAACGCTCCAGGCCAGGGTCCTGAACTCAACTGTGAGCAACCTCCAGGCCCCATTCCCTGGGCCTCCAGTGCCGTTGCTGCACCCTGAGCACCCAGCCTCAAATCTTGGCTCCACCCCCAACTTGCAAAGTGACCTGGGCAAGTCATTTAATCATCTGTAGAATGGATATCATCGCCTCTGCCCTGCCCATCCCAAAGGTTGCCGGAGAGATCAAATGGAATCATATGCATAAAAACAGTTTATAGGGCTGGGGATGTGGCTCAAGAGGTAGCACACTCGCCTGGCATGCGTGCGGCCTGGGTTCGATCCTCAGCACCACATACCAACAAAGATGTTGTGTCCACCAAAAACTTAAAAAAATAAATTAATTGATTAAAAAAAAACAGTTTATAGATTGCTTTACACGTACAGAGATCACCTTTACTTTAAAGACGGGCTTGCCCCAGACTCCCCTGTCCTCCATGACACCACTAACGCTCCAGAAGAGGATAAAAATGTGCATAAATCTACCAAATGAGCAGAATGGCAGGGAGGGGCCTCTAGGGGGAAGAGACATCTCAACAAGTGAAAGGAAGCCGAGCGGGTGGCAAAGGACAGGATGATAGAACAATCTAAAAGGGGAGTAGAGAGGGGGAAGGCCCTGGCCCTGGAAATGAGGGTCAGGCTATGACAGCAAAACCCACCCCTCCCCCACAACAGGCAAAGATTTAATGTGTGGCTGGGGAGCAAGACTGCTAACTCCTCTCTAAAAACTGCATCATTCCCAGCTAAAAACCTGGACCTTCTAGCTGCAAAAGGTTCAGAAACATCTAGAACAACTTCAGACGTGAAGCTCCTGGTGACTTTTAACTGCTTTAAGTTTAAATGGGCATAGGCAACCAAGGGTCACCTGGTCAACCTGAGGGAGACAGAACAGGACAAACCACCAGATAAAATGGCCACAGAGAAAACTACTCGAGGTGTAAAAGACCACTTAAAAATATCCTCCTTGGCGCATGGTGCTGCATGCCTGCAATCTCAGCAACTCGGGAAGCTGAGGCAGGGGGATGGCAAGTTAGAGGAAGCCTCAACAACTTAGAGAGCACTTGTCTCAACATTTAAAAGGTGAGAGTGGGAGGTGCTGGGGATGTAGCCCAGTGGCAAAGAGCTTCTGGGTTCAATCCTCAGTATCAAATAGCAATAATCGTTCTGCTTAATGTCTCCAGAGGTACTCAAAAGAGTACAACTTTGAAAGTAAGAAAAGAAAAACTGGGGGGAAGAGTTCATTAGAAGAACTGGAAGATGAGGTCAAGGAATTTGACCAGACAGTAGAAGCAAATGGCAAAGAGAGAAAGAGGTTGTGATTAAAAGATATGAGTGCTAGAGAAGCGATCGAGAAGA